GTCGTTGTTGCCTAACCACACACATAATGAAAACGTTTGTCATTTCGGCTATTAGGTTTTTGTCATTTTTTTTTTTTTTTTGTTGAAACCATACTTATTGAACGGATGTCGTTATATGCACTCATGGACTGTTTATATTTTTCACAATTCAGAAAGTGCAATTAACCTAAAAGAGCTACAAGTTACAGTTTGTTAGAGATTCTAAATATACAGAGAACAATTATGTTAAAAGACATGGAATAATTAAACAAAAAAATGATTATTTGAAGTTTATATTTAATATTTGTTTAATATACTAAATGTACATAGAGAATTATTATGTTTAAAGACAGAGAATACTTAGAATTAGTTACTTTGTTGTACAAGTTTCTGTCTTAATTATATTCTCCCCCCTGTAATCTTTGGTATTGCGTAAATTGCATTATCATGAACTATAGAACTTTCTAGTTTTCATTTACCATCCAGTGTCTAGTATTCTATTTGGATTTCTTGTCTATAGCCTCTCATATATAGCATTGAAGTTGCGGTGGCCTTATGACACACATTCTGTGGTTAGGCTTATCTCGTTTATATGTAAAAAGAAAAAAAAAGTTTATTTTTGCCACACTTGTACGTACAATAGTTTTGTGAAGGAAAAGACAAACAGATAGAGCCTGTTCCATCTCGCTCATCGATCAGAGTCCAAGTGGAAGCATTTACCAATCGATCGCTCGAGATAATATCAATCAGAGCATGGCTTTAGGTATACCTTTGAATCAATATAGCATATAAAGCCCATTTTATGGCTCTATATAGACTGATAATTCCCAGACAATGTTTAGGGTTGGGCTACGAAGTCCGATGAATATCTGTTCGAATTTCTTGTGTCATTATCTCAGCGATTAGGTTACCCCCAGGGTCATTGAACTCCAGCCTTGCTTACTCATTTGTATTTGCTCACTTTTTTTTTTTTTTGGCCACACTCTTGTAAGGTTCCATAAATTATCAGCCTGGTGTGTATGTGGTTTCTGCATTTCATAGTTTTCTAGGACACATGCGAATGAACTTTTCGGGAACAATAACAACACCATTCAAAACAGAACACATTACTCTGTTTGCTTCCAGCAGACAGCAGGCCAGAATATTTCAAAATATTTGCATGCTCCACATACGGAATCTATATAAGATATATGGGGGTGGGAACTGATGGGAAATTCCATGCCAAATTGAGGTTTTTTCTATTCGAAATGGAGAGATGACTCTGAACAAGCTCCGGCAAATTGTGTGCTTAAGTGCGTCCATATTCATTACAAACATCTGTCAACTATCGGCAAGACCAAAAATGTTTCACAGGCTCTGTTTGAATAAAAAAAAGAGAGAGATGGGGAGGAAGGTCCTTTGAGGGCAATATCAATATGCTATAAGTGCTCAAAAATATATATATCTCTTATCAGGATGAAGCTACTACACACAAGACATCAAAAGGAGCTGATTGCCTCTATTACAAGTCGTATCTTTGGTAAAATCAAATATGATGTCATATAAAATCCGACCTTAGCTAGCTTTACCAGCATAGGAAAAGGTTCTTTTCAAGATTAAATTGATTTTTTTTAGGAAATCGTTATTATATTGGTAATAATACTATATATAATCTTGTTATCGTGTGTTTCATATAAAAATTAACTAAATTATAATGTTTCCTGCCTTGTTTTTTGAGGTAATAATTACCAAGGTAATATATTTTAATTTACTGATCGTAAGGAAGTTAGGATCCAATTTATATGGCTCTTTATCGTGTGTGCTAAATCGGAAAACTTAACGGCAGAGTTCCGTCCGTCAGAAAGGAAGTCAAAAGTTCGGCGACTTTTCTAATCCGGCAATTAATACCGCATTTACATGAGGCGGCAACAACAGCAAGAACAACAACTCGAGTAACAGTAACGGCGATAGAAGCCGTAATCATGGAAATTCACGCAATAATTGTCAAACAAAGAAGTGAACACCATTTCCCCCTCATTCTCTCTAGCTCTCTAGAGCTCTCTCTCTCTCTTTCCTCGCTCTGGCTCATTTTTATGGCTCCAAAAACTTTGACTGCATAAATAATAATTTGGGTTTTGTTGGCGGCGGCAAAGAAAGGAAAATAGAAATGGGGGAGAAGTGGAAAAAGCCATAGAAAGTATTGTTGGGATGTTGTAATTGTAATGTGCGTGGCGTGGGCAGCGCTGCTAGCGTCGCTGCCGCTCCCGCATAACGTCGCTGCTCTCACGCACTCTGCACTCTCCCAATCTCCCACACTCTCTCTCTCTCTAGCCGCTGCTCTATCAGAGTGCGTGTGTGTGTGTGCGTGCGAGTTGAATGACCGCCGAAAATAAATTTTTTTTCCTCGGTTTTAGACTTTTACTATGTTGATTGTGCGTGCGTGAGTGTGTGTATCTGTGTGTGCTTTGGCGCTTCTCAAACGCACACTAATTCACTACTCGCACTCTCCCAAACAGTCAGAAATTTTTGGGTAGCTTCATAGTTTTTTTGTTTCTATTTCTTTTTCATTATTTTTTTTTTTTTTTTTTTTTTCGAGTGTTAAACGGGCGTTCGCACTATCTCGCAGGGTCGTTGTGGGTAGAGAGGGGGAAGAGGTGGCAGAGAGGGGGGCCTGCATGGGGCTTTATATTTTCTACTCATTTGTTTCTATGCCTTTTTTGAGTGCGTGTGTGTGTGTGTGTGTGAGCTGACTACACAAACACAAACACACTTGAACAAAAGTTTTCTGTCTGACTTTTATGAATATTTTTTTATTGTCCTCTCTCTCTCTCTTTCTTGTCAACTCTTTCGCTTTTTAAATTTCGTTTTTGGCCGCTTTCTGTTTACGCCGCAAAATTTCTTTCACTTTGCGTACGTTTCTATCTGTTTCAAAAAAAAAAAAAAAAAAAAAAAACTTAAAAAAATACAATAAAAAAACATAAAACAGAAAAGAAAACGCAAAGAAAGAAAGGCAAAATGGCAAAAGGCAGTAGCGAAAAAGTGAAAATTTCAATAATAAAATAAAAGTTGATTTTGCGGAAGTCATAAACGCAAATTGCATGCCAAAAGCAACAGTGACTAGTGACCCCCCCCTTTTCTACGCTCCTGTGTCCGGTGGCAGCAGCTCCCTTAATTGCTCCCACACGCAACTCTAGCACACAAAAAAGGGGGTTAGATCGTCGTCAACGATTAAGATTTATGCTAGAAATAATACATCCTTCGTAAGCCAGCGGCAAAGCCTAATTGCATTCACTTGAGAAGGGTTCAAGGAACTCCCATTAAATGTGTATTAATTTAGTTGTGACTTCTACTAAGGATTAAAGTCCCTCAAAGCAGTGGAAAATAAATTAATTGAGTCCTTTGAGCCTCCATTTTTGAGTAAATTAAACTATTAATGAGTCAGCAAATAGAAAATAATTAAAATAAAATATTTTTATTAGCCTATTAAAGAAGTTTTTATAGAATATTAATATTTGTATTATATTAGATGCCATAATTTTTTTCAAAATTAAATTAAATGTAGCAAATGTAGCTATAAGAATTACAACATTGTTAAAATATAATATATATATATTTTTCAGTCCTTTTAAATACCTCAGTTAACAAAAATTAAACTCTTTTTTTAGTATAATTTATTGTTAAATTTAAATTTAATTATTCTGGTCTTATTTTTCAAGAATATTAAAACCTTGTAATGAAAAGTAAAGCATATTAAGCTTTATAAGCCCACATATGTAAATCCCAGACCCAAATTAATCATCACAAATACAATGTATATTCAAACACCCACAACTTTTAATTATGTTTAAATATATTTTCTCTGAAAGTTTCTTCTTTTTTGGCCCAATAAAAAGTGCCGAAAAATACAATCGAATCAATTGTGGATAGTGCGAAATGAAAATCTGCCCAATAACTGTAAAATACCATGAAGGAAGCCCATTAACTAATACCAGCAAAAAGTGTAATTCATACATCGCATATTTATTTATATGGCTTGTTGAAACTTTGTTGGCATTACAATATCTCGCATATATTTATTTTTACGACTGGCGCGCGAACTTTTATTCGCAAGTTTCTTTTTCATTTTAGTTTTCTTTTTTTTTTTTATTGTGATCTTTTTAGTGTACTTTTTTTATGATGGCTGTGTTACATATACAATTTGTATCTTGTATCTGTTGGGCACCGTCTCTTTCCTGTTCTCTGATTGCCTTTTCGAATTAAAAATTAGTTGAATTGTCAATGCAAAAAAAAAAAGACAAAAAAAAGAGCCACACACTAACAACAGACAAATGCAAACCGAGTGTGTTTCGTAATATTCAGCTTGGCTGTCTTTCTTCATTTACGAATTTCATGGATTTCCCTTAAATAATTTTGGTTGCTGGTCTTCAGTTGTTGTTTTTGTTGAGAAACCCAAGTGACTTTCACTGCCAACAAGCCAACAAAATAACAAAGTAAAGGTAAAAAATATAAAAAAAAGAGCAGCAACTCATTTCGGGACCAACTGACTGACTGACTGAGTGACTCTGCTTTGCCACATAAAACCACAAACTTAACTGGATTTCATTAAATTTACACTTTATTTGGCTTTTGCTGTTTTTTTGTGCAATTTTCATGAAAGTTCACACTAAAGGCTTACTTAACTTACTGATTTTTGGTAGTTTTATAAGAGAAGATACTTCCTAAAGGATTCAAAATTGTTTATATTATATATATATTATTGTAAATTGTTTATGCAATACCTTTGCAAGCGGAACTAACAACTATTTTAAGTTTATTATCAAGCCCAGACTGTGGTTGTGGTTATTTTGAGTAGTTTTATTTGAAAACTTTCCAACGACCTTAATGATATTATGTATATTTTTCCATAAATATGACCATGTTTCTAATATATAAAATTCCAAGATCTTCTTTTAGAAAAACCTTTTTTCCCAATCTGTTTTCCAAGACTTTTTCTTACTGATTGTTCTTAAGTTAAGTACTATTTGTATTTAAACTTGGTTTACCTTTGATGGAACCGCTGGAGTTATTTTGTCCCGCTGGCGATTGGACGTTGCTTTGACCGAGGTTATTTGCGTGTGCTTCCAGTTTCGAAGTGACGCTGCTCCACATGTCAAACATACGTTGCGTATACATAATTATTAATGAGAAATGCGAAGCTTTGGTGACGTTTGTAACGTTTGCTGGTTGCCGATGACGATGACGATGTCGCTGCAGTTGATTGGCCAAATAGTTATGTATATGTACACTTGGTATCAGTTGTTGCAACCGCTAACACCGCACGCACACACATTCACACACACACACACGGTGGCTCATGCCGCGGGCATACGAGGCGTATGCGCAATCTGGCCTCTCTTTGCAGTCGAATGAATTTGAATTTAGCTTGCTTGCTTTTTAGTTGTAGTTTTAGTTTTAGTTTAACTTGGGTTTTGTTTTGTAAATATGTAAAACGTTGTATACAGTATTTAATAGAGTGTTATATATATATATTTATGTATGTATATAGCTTTATATAGCTGCCCTTTCGCTTCCAAAACTGTGGTTGTTTAGCCAATCTTTCGTATTGCACTTGGTCTTTTTATTTATTATTTATTTATTTATAAATTTACTTTTTGTGGCTTGTGTGTTTTGCTGCTTAGCTTGCTTCTCGTGTCCATATAGAGGTTTTCCAATGCTTTTATGAATGAATTTTCCGCGCTTTTCGCATTTAAAGTGTGAATCAAGAACTATCACAGTGTGTGTGGGTGTTTTTTATTTACTTTTTTTTTTTTTTGTTTTGTGAGACGAGGGGGGCTGTGTGTGTGAGAGAGGGGGCTTGCCAATCGATATATGTATATATATTTAATTTGTTTGTATATTGCTATATATATATGTATATATATATATATATATATAATGTATATAATGATCTAACGTTGTCAGGCCTGTAGGTACTAAATTGTTGATGTTGTTGGATCTGATGTTATATATTGTTGCTGCTGCTTAATTAATTATATCCTTTAATAAGACACTTGTTCGCGTATGTATATTATTATTAAGTGTTTTTTTGTTTTTTTTTTTATTTTTTGTTACGAGTTATTTAAAGCAATTTTCTATGTGTGTGTGTGTGTTTGATAATATCTAAATTTACAATCAAGCAACTCAACCCTTTTGCAATATGTGCAGATTGCTGTTGCTGTTGCTGTTATTATTGTTATTGCTATTGTAGTTGTTGTCGTTTGAATTTTTGTTGTTGTTGTTGGTTTTGGTTGCTTTGGGCAATTGTTGTTGCTGCTGCCGCTGCTGCTGCTGCTGTTTTATCACTTTCACTGCGTTATTGTTGCTGCTTCTTCGGTTGCTGTGATTTTTATTGTGTTGCTTGTTGCTGCTGCTGCTGCTGCTGCTGGTTGTTGTTGTTTTGCTGTTGTGGTTGTTGTTGTTGTTATTGTTGTTGCTATGCTCATTGTTTTGTCGATTTCTCTGTTTTGCTTGATTCCAAATCAAAATTTCCAAAAATACGAAAATTTCACGACAATTAATTCCGGAAGACATTTAGGCGCAATCTGTTTCTCATCGATTCGAACTGTCGCTGCCTTGGAAACGTTCATCAGTTTTATATTGTATATATATATTTAATCGGTCCTCAGCTTGAACACTTTGATGTACAAAATGGTTTGGCCAGTTATGTAAATACTTTTGCTACGCACTGTCAGCCATGGCCAATTCATGGCATTCAGCATATTGCACGGGAATGATGTCTGCGGATGGGAAATTGGTTTTCATCAAAATGGCGTCATCTTTCGATAGTTCGATAGCGATAGATCCGATCGAAAGATGGCCGCCTCTTACGAGTGTGTTTGTGTGTGTGTGCCGCTTATTGCTTTACAATTTTTTGCAACATTTATGATTTAAGTTATAAGAAAATAGAGCAGATACTTTTCATAATTAACGAACAATTTCAAACTATAAAAAGTATCTATTTCATAGTTATAATTTTGGTTCTTTCTTAAGAAACATTAAGGTAAAAACATTAATTACTATCCGGGACACTCATCGCAACAGGGAGATCACATTTGTTCAGGACATACTTTTAAATTTTAATTGATGTATTGTATATCAGGTTCAAATTAATCTTTAATTTTGTACATTTGTGGGCTATAACTTTTTTCATTTCAAATATATAACAAAAGTATTCAAAGGTAATAGCCAATTTTCCCTCTAACTCCTATGAAAGTTGTTAAAACACCTTAAGATTCCCTATAAACCAAACTCCACGAATAAAGCCTCAGTATATCCCTAACAATATTTAACAAATATTCAATATATCGAAATATTTTATAACGAATCACCTTCAATGATATATTACCCAAAAGGACATGACATTTTCCCAATGATCCTACATTTCCCTGTATGCAAGCAACGCAATTCAGGGAACTGTGCCGAACCCCAAACCCTCGAAAAAAGGAAAACCCCAAGTAAAGCCTGTTAGCTCTCCCTTTTTTCGGTTGGCAACTCCCTTTTGCGGGGCGATGATTATATGGACATGAACATGAAAAATCGATAAAGAAATGGGATTTAAGGGTGCCCAGACACAGACGGGGGGGCTGGGCAAGGAAATTGGGGGGATTGTAGGGGAAAACCTCTGAAATGCAGCGCATAAATCTCGTCGCCAAGCATTTGTGGGTGTGTTTGCCAGTGTGTGTCTCTGTGTGTGTGTGTGGGTAAACATAGAAAAAAGTTCTATGACCCAAAGCTCAAACACACACACACACACACACACTAACGAGCCGGCAAACCCAATGAATATAAAAACATTTTTACTTTTCCCTCTCTTCCTCTCTCTCCGCCTCACCCACTCTCTTCTCCGACAGGGGGGGCAGTGCCGGGTGGGGGTAGTGTAATCACTTTGTTGGGCGGCTTTTCGGGGGTGGCTTTTGGGTGGCCATGCGGAAGCCGCTGGCGTAGACATATAAAATACGTCACCAAAGCGACAGCAACAACACTGAAATTGTGCCAGCTCAGTGGCATAAAGAGATGGGGCGAGAGAGAGAGAGCAGAGAAATTTACATATAGACGGAACGGAACGCAATGCAAAGAAAATGCTGAAAAGAAAATGAAAATGAATAGCCAGCAAGCCCCACCGTGTACACAGAGTAGTGTGCTGTGGAAATGTGAAATTCTCTCTCTTTCTTCTCGGCTCTTCTCTTCTCACAGCGCCAACGAACTTACTAACGGTACCCCAAAGCTAACGAGCCGGTCAAGCCGATGATGGAGCAAAGAGAAAGAGTGCCAAGGGGGAGTGAGTGAGAGAGAGAGAGGCGCTCGATAGATTGGGGGGAGTGGGAGGCAGAAGCCGAAGGCGGTTACAGTTACAACAGCAACAGAGCGACAGCAAAGCAGACGACAAAGTTTACAAGGCAGCGCTGTCGGCGTCGCTGCTGCAGCGCTGCTGCCGTGCTGTTGGTGTTGTTGTTGCCGTCGCAGTACGTTGACGCCGACGAAAAAGACCAATGACCTATGGAATGGGTGGGCTTCTGCCCCGCCGTTGCCCCCAGTTTTCCGCCAGCGGCTTCTGCTTAGGCCGTTTTCCGCTTTCCACACGGCAAGAAAATGTCACAGAAATCGATTAAAATCGAGCTGGGTTCTATATTTTGAATTGCCTGAGATTCTATTATAATGCAGGATCTTGAATCCTGTTGCTTATCTTTAAGATCCTTTCAAATCAGAACCTTCAATGGGATATTACTTAAATCTTATCCAAAATCGTGGAAGATTCATAAAATAAATAATTTGTTGAAATTACTATAAAATAGTGAACTATATCTTTTTATAATTCTATTGATCTAGTTTTTAATGCCTTATTTTGATCATAAATCCCTTCCAGTACATCCTATATTTAATTAATTTCTCAAAAAAGTCCACTAAAAATTCCTCCATTCATTTTTTCTTTGCGTGCATCCTTTAGTTGTTGTTGCTGTTGGGGTGGCACACTTATGGGCGACACATGGAGTGTGTGCTGTGTCTGTGCCTGTGTGCCTGTGTGCCTGTGTGTGCTTAGCAATGTTGTTCCACTAACGGTAATGCAAACAGTCGACTAAAAAGGCAGGAGAGGGGGGGCTCCAGAAGGCGGAGAAGGAGGCACCAGTGGAGGAGCCAAGTGGGTGGTGGCCACACGGCGACGACCGTCGACCGACGACCGACGACCGACTTTGCTCTGCTCTGAACTCGCCTGAACTGAAACTGAACCGTACGGAGGATAGAAGTCGGTGCAACTACCGCCTCTAACTGCTTCTAACGACAACAATAACAATTGTTGATAATCATAAGTTGCCACAATGGACGCAGACACAAAACTGCTGGCTGGCTGGCTGCAAGCTGTATGCCACAAAGGGGGGGGAAAAACTATGGACAAGAAAAGGGCATAGCATCGCATCTCGGGCTTTGTTGCCGGAGATTCGGGCTCCTAAGATCTCCACAGAATGGGCAAAGACAATGGACCACGCCGAAAGCAGAAACAGATGCAGCGCCGCCGGATACTGGGATACAAACTACAGGGAACACTATGAAAAATTGCGAAAATCTCTCAACTGACAGTTGGCAATAGTTGCCCCCTAAAAGGGGTTGATAATTGGGGGAAACTCATTCCCAAGTATCTAGCAACGGAAAAACCCAACCTCATGAGGGGGCATATAACAATAGAGGAATTTAATGATCTAACAGCATTTTGTGCTGGGTCCTAAAATACTATATATCTCAAAACTATAAATCTGAGATGTTTTTTAAAACTTTCAATCTGTTTTTAAAGATTTGTAAAGGTAATGCGTTGCCTTATCTAAATTTTACTTTAAAACACAATGCTTTATGATTCATTGTAACGAAGTTTAAAAAATTTGGTAAAAGTGTCTCAAAATCCTTTGAAAAAAGCCAAACTTTGAAATTGTGACAACAAATAAAGTGAGTTTTTCAAAGAAATTGCCTTTTCAAAAATCTATTTTGAAATTATAATCATATTCCTCCAATCTCTAAGATATAACTTTAACTTGTACCAGCTAGAACCCTAATAATTCTTTATAAATGATTTTTAAGAAAATAAAAAGTGCTCAAACTTCACTTGAAATCTCAGTGCAAAGTCCAACTATAAAACATAATGTACACGTGTCCTTAATAAACTCTAAATATGCCTGCTAGCTAATCCTAAACGATGCCATAAATTTCCCCAAACAATCTCATTTAATCCCTCCTGATCGTGTGATATATCCATAGGCTGGTGGTTATAGCTATCCAATTAGAGGCAAAAATTGATTATTCCAATAAATTATCCAATTTGCGGGCGCCGAGAAGGCTTTGTGTGTTTCCATGTTGCGATGATTTTCTATTTTGTTAATATTATTAAGTGGTTTATCCTTTCGGCACACACACACACATATATATATTGACCGATCGTACACATACACAGAGATTGGCGTTGTTTTTGTTGCACAATCGAGGGGGAGGAGGCTGTGTGGGTGGAGGGTAGCTATATTTTGCATTCCCTTTTTTTTGTCGCCTGGATTTTACGGTAGTTTTAAAGAGTATTACGTCACTGGCACTTCCGTTTCCGTTTCGGTATCGGTATTGGTATTTGTTTTTATTCCTTGCGCGTTGCAATTGTTGCAGTTTTTATTTTTCGTTATTTTTTTTGTAGGCACGATGTGGATTTTGAATGCACACGATATTTAGATTGATTGATTGACTGACTGGTACTGTATAGTATCTACAGAGTATAGCTATATAGATATAGGCATAATCTATGATTCTTGCGCTTATTTGTGGTTGTGTGTGTGGATCTGAAACCGAACAAACTTCAGCTGCCGCCGTTGCAGCCACTGCAACTGCAACTGCAACTCATGTTGCAAATATTTCTCGTATTTATTTATTTCTTAGCACTTGACACACGCGTGGTTTTGCCTTTTTAATTATTTATTTTTTATTTTAATATATTTTTTTCCCAGGGGGAAAGGTGTCGTGGGCCGAGGGGGGGCGGTGTTTGGGGGGCTCTTGTTTTTTTTTCTGTGGAGGGGGGGCAAAACGCATAGACGACACACAACATACACACGCACAGAGAGGAGGCACACAGACACAGACGCAAATGCACGCACACGCTGGCACGCGAGATGGGAAATAATACGGTTACAGAGAGTATAAACAACAACAACAAATAATTAATAATAAAGATACAACGCGCCACGCATCGTAACCCGCCGCCGCGAAACGCTCAATACGAGGTGTAGCTGAAGAGTGCCTCAAAATGCTATCGAGTTCGTTGTCGTCGTGCGGCGGCAGCGCTGCGGGCAGCGCAGCAGCAGCGTCGCAATGCGGCAGCAGAGAGCGACGGCGGCGGCTCTCTCTCTCCCCCAACAAGCACAAGTAAGAAAGCTATGGGAGGGTGGGCTGCACTAAAAGATACCCTGTACTCAAATCGGTGTGGGTTCTATGAATAAAACTAACAGGTTTTTCGACTTCAGATGTTAAGAAATTATTTGGCAAAGTAATCCTCTTTGTATCTATTTTGAGAAGAGTATCTTGGAGTACTCTTTGCCTTGGGTATTTGTTTTTACATGAAAATACAGTATACTATTCAGTTGAAGCTGATTACTTATATATTTACACTACCCAGTCGGAGATACTTCCTTATGCCCAGTTACATTACATTTTCAGCTGGCCCTAAGCTATAATACCCTTGTAACCTATGGCTACCGCGTATAAAAAGAGAGTAGTAAATGGGTATATGTGTCTCTGTGCCGATGACTTCTTCAGTTCGCTGCCCCAACCTCGCTTCACCCGCCCCTCCAACTGCCTCTCGTGTGCTCCACTCATTTGCCTCGTCCGCTTTGGGCCGCTCATTCGCTATGGCAACCGCTCTGAAAATTTTTCCACAAGCAATCTGACTGCCGCTCTCTTGCCGCCTAATCAGCTGTTATCTGGGGGCTCTCTCTTCGGCCCCAAGTATTTTGGTTTCTCTTAAGCAAAGAGCGGGAGCTTTTTTGGCGCTTCCTTCAATTAGCAGGTCAATTGCTTTTTAGGCCAAAATGTGTGCACTGCAGTCAGTAGCAGCGGGCCAGCCTTTAATTGCACTTTTTAAGTTGGCAAATTGCTTCAAACGCTTTTTCGGTTGGGGAAGGGAAAGGGGAAGCGGAAGGGGTTAACTGGAAATTGGCTCTAAATTATAGCGCTTGGGTCCTGTCAACCAGCTTTTCATTATTGAATATTTTGTCTTGGGTTTTTATAGAAAATTAAATTACGAGGGAATATTAAGGAAGTAGTTTTGGCTTTGAGGAAGAAGTGATTAATATAGGCACTACTTATAGTAAATCAGGCTTTTCCTTAATAAAATTCCATATTTTCCTTCCCTTTTTGGTAAAAGAAAATTCCTTATCAATTATTTTAATAAAATAAAAGACTAATATAAATAAGCTTTACTGAAATAAAGACCTACATATATAGGTATTTAGCTTCTTGTAATTGTATTAAAATATTCTGTTTATTTTTAGCCAGGGTTAAAATATTTGTAAGTAAAGATATATATACAAAGTACTAAAGATACGTATACCTCTTTCCTTGTAATAATGGAAACTCATTAGTAAAATATAATTTATTACATTCTTTAAAACCTAATAAAACTAAAATTAGGTTAAATACCGAAACCGCTCATCTAATATGGGTATATATTTTTTATTAATTTTATAAATATTCAAAACATTTTGCTTGCAAAAATGCAAAAAACCAAACAGTCAAGGTGAACTGCAGATGGAGTTTGCTGGCCAATTAAAAATGTTAAAATTAGTTTAAATCATTTGGCAATTTGGCTTTCGAAGTTTGCCAAAATGAAAAGCAAACCGATAACTAAAAACTAAAAAAGATCAAAATAAAAAAGTAAATTTCCATGTAAATGTTTAAGACAAGAGCTGGGCTAGAGTTATAAATTAATATTTCGTTTTTGTTAATTTATGTATATTCGTTGACGCGGCCAGATACTGAAGCCATTAGCTCTGCATCTCGCAGATACAAAGATACAAAGATGCGAAGATACACGGCGAGCGGATGTGTGTGCAGCATAATTCGCATTTTGCATAGATGAGCGCCAGCCAGTCAGCCAGTAAAAAATGAACCGAGCTTGTTACGACATCGCAGACCCAGCAGAGTATCGATGAAGTTTTTGGCCAAATCGAAAATATGATAATGAAACTTCGCCACGCTCGATTGGAAAAAAAGAAGAAAAAAACGAAGCCTCATGCGGAGCTGACCTGGCTAATAGTCGGCGGAAGATTCATGCATGAAATGCAAAGCGTTGTCCAACCAAAATTATAATGAACCCGGGCCTGGGCTCCGCCAAATCATATGGGAAATTACAACAATAAAACTACAGATATATCGCAAAAGTGACAGTGCCAAGAGCCTGGCCAAAGATATATCTCGTAATCTGGCTTGCGACATCTGAAGATTCAGCGACGGCGGGCGACAAAGTCCATCGACCACGTTCAGGGTCGTCTCATCCGCAGAAAGGTTCGGATGAAGAAAACCTTTATGTTTTTTTTTTTTCGGTTTTACATCTTTTTTTGCCAACTACCATTATGTGGGCTAATCATTGTCAAATCCGCTTGTGGTGAATACATTCCCCCTGTTAGTTGTTAGTTATAGTTACTTTGGTGGCTCCAAACGAGTTTTTGCCAAACGATTTAAATCATTTTGAAAATTTCACGTGACGGCTAAGGGTACTTCACCATCTTTATATATTTATACGCTTGAAATTTGAAATCGATTTCACAGGAATTTCATAAAATAAGCTTATTAATTTTATAAATTAACCTTTAGGCAATACAAAACTAATCGTAAGACAGTTTTAGTTGGTTTATTTCTTTGAAGCTTCAAAGAAAACTTAAAAGATATATATAAATTTTTAAATAGATGTTTACAAATACTTTAAAATATGCAAATTACCTTAAATTTTGTTCTATTCTTTCTATTTTATTCAAATAATTTCTTCTTTTTAATTTTCTTCTTTTTCAAAAGCACAAATCATTTAAAGTCCCAAGAATTCCATTCAAATTTCATTGCCTCATTTGCACAAAAGATAAGCTTCTGGTATTGAGAAAGCGGATAATCTCTTGGCAAATCGAAAGGGTGATACATCGTTTCCCCAGAGAGCAAGATCCCGTTCTAGAGGATAGCCAGCAATTAGGTAACAAATCCAAAAGATCGATCATCAATCATGAGACCAAGTTAAAAATACGACATTTTGGCCACCGCCCCGAACTGCTAATGAGCCGTAGGGGCCCCCAGCGGAAAGATATCAACGGAACCCTATAAAATATAGATCAATCTTGGCCCAAAACTGTAGGGCTTCTGCATGGGAGAAGTCGTGTGTCAGTGACTGACACTCATTTGTAGTCATCAAGTGAACAGAACAGAATCAACTCACTGGCCCGAGGCGCTGCCAAATCAATTTTTCAGCTTAGCCCCATACCCAAAGCTCTATGCTTGAGTGAGTGCACTGAGGGAAATTGTTGATTTAATTTGAAATTTAAAAGAAATTCAGATAAATATAAAATTAAAAGATATATTTATAAACAGTAATCAAAAGAGAGATATAGATATAGATGCAAAGATATCATTTCAAGAAAAGATATAAGAACTTTTTCAGTTTCTGTGTAAAAATTTAAAGAATTTCCCAAAGTATCTCATAAATTTTTATTATTAATCACAAGTTGTTATGTATTTTTTTTATTTATTTAACGTGTATAAACGTTAATTCTATTCCAGCCAAGTTTAGGCCCGAGTTTCGCTCTCAGTCACTCCTTCTTTCCCACCTCTCCCACTGTTCATTCAGCTAACTGTATAGTTTGTAGTTGACGTTTTTACCGCTAAGGTTCGTGATACGGTAAAAATATGAGCCAGGCGGCAGAAGAACGGCTCGGTGTTGCTGTGCTTGGTGCCGCAACAGCAGTAAAGCGAATGTGACGAGGCAGCAAGAATCCCAAAAAAGAAGAGAACAGCTAACAGAACCTAATGATAAAGAACAGCAGCAGCAGCAGCTAGACTTGGCCAAAAGCTAGGCAGGCAGCCTAGCAGCGGCTTATTTAGTATGTCAAAACATGTTTATACCCTTGCAGGGTATTATAATTTCAGTCAGAAGTTTGCAACGCAGTGAAGGAGACGTTTCCGACCCTATAAAGTATATATATTCTTGATCAGCATCAACAGCCGAGTTGATCTAGCCATGTCCGTCTGTCCGTCTGTCCGTCCGTCTGTCCGTCTGTCCGTCTGTCCGTCTGTCCGTTTCTACGCAAACTAGTCCCTCAGTTTTAAAGCTATCTGAATGAAACTTTGCATATAGTCTTCTATATACTCTCACTGCTATATATGTCGGAACGGGCCGGATCGGACGACTATATCATATAGCTGCCATACAAATGTTCGAAAAATTTTTAGAAAAAAAATTATAACTTGGCCGTTTTTCAATATTATTGCATCATTTTTGGGATATAGCCTTTTTTTATTATTCCAGAATTTTGGTAAAAATTTTATGAAAATCGTACCACTATATCTTATAGCTGCCATAGGAACGATCGGGAAATTAATCGAAAAATATTATAACTTCGTTGTTTTTCAACGTATTTTAATCTACTTTGGTACATAAGCTTCTGGTATTATTTCAGAATTTTGGTATAAATTTCATGAAAGTCGGATGACTATATCTTATAGCTGCCATAGGAAAGATAGGGAAAGTAATAGAAAAAATTATAACTTCGTTGTTTTCAACGTATTTTCATCTACTCTGAGATATGAGCTTCACTTATTATTATAGAATTTTGGTATAAATTTCATAAAAATCGGACAACTATATCTTATAGCTGCCATAGAAGCGATCGGTAAATGTATAAAATATATAAAGCTGGGAATGTAAAACTGTAACTGTCAAACTGTAAACATAATAGGTATAGGTAAAATGTTATCAAACTCTGTTTAGTGTCTGTTTTCGGCATTATAATTTATGATATAAATATGAAAACCAATCTGCAAGGGTATACAAACTTCGGCGTGCCGAAGTTAGCTTCCTTTCTTGTTTTTTCTTTTTTTTGTTGCTGCGTTTTTGTTGACTATGGAAAGTGGGACACTTGCCCGTACCAAGTGGCTGCAGCCACACAAAGGTGAATAGCCAATAAATCGAGGCTTGTAAATTGAAATTCTTTTTAGCCTTTTAGTTGTTTTAGCCTAAGTAGTGTGTGTGTGTGTGTGTGTGTATACACCTGTTGAAGTCGTCTTGAGTTGCCGAGATGTGTTGCTGATGTGTCAGCCTGTTAATTGCCGCCACCGCCCGGGGATGCTTGCGCAATCAGCGTTCACCGAGCGTTCATTTGCATAGCTTTTGGATGCGGATTCTTTTTGGGGGGGAGTGTGAGGGCGGAAAAAGCTGTATGTTTACCTGTGCCAGTGATTACCTGAGCCATTGCTGTTCACCGGCGGTCGCTCTGGGTGAGTGCTCACTGCCGTTGCACTGGCAACAAGTGGAATGCGCCCAGTTGCAGTGGCTCATAGAATTTGATGGGGAATTTTATGGCCTGTGAACGCATCTCTCATGGGGGAATCCTTGACTTGAGATCGTTGAGATTCTCTGGCACACCCAGCTATATGATGGGTCCTGTATCTTTAAGATTTTACTTGGATTTTTCTTGACTTTTGTTCATAAAACGAAGCTTTTTCTGGGAAATATGAACACAAGCTTAACACAAACTAGGAAACAAAAAAATGTCTAAATATATGTTTTTATAATGGTTTTTTACTCAATTCCTTAAAATTTCTGTTAGAATTTCATAAACAACCCATTTGTTGTCCCTCCTGAAATCTCTTGTAATAAAAAGCAAAGCCAAGCCTTGGCTTTTTGCCTATTTTAAGGGGATTTACCTGTCATAGCTCCATTGCTGCTGCTGCCGCTGCTGCTGCCATGATGACTGCTGCTGCTGCCGCCAGACTCCCTAACCGCCGACGTTGCTGGCGTGCTTGCTGTTCCTGCTGCTGTTGCTGTTGCTGTTGCCGCTGATGTGGCCGTGGCTATTGCTGATGTCGTGGTGGTGGCCACCACTGCTGCGGGCTTCTGGTTATTGCTCAGCGGTGCCATGGGCGGTGGCGTTCGATCCTTGGTTCGCTTTAGCTGGCTGAGGTTGCTGGCATGGCTCTCGCTGCTGCTGCTGGTGTTGCCAGTGTTGGCAGTATTGCTGGCCATGTTTTTGCACACGGAGCTGATGTTGCTCAGGCTGCTGAAGCTGCTGAGGCTGCTGAAGCTGCTGGAGCGCGCCAAGGCCGGTGGATCCGAGAGGAACTTCACCTGGTGATGCTGCTGTGGCCTGTTCTGATGCTGCTGCTGGGGCTGCGTCCTGCTAGTGGCCAGTCTCTTGGGCGCTGGTGGCTCCTGCTCAGTCTCATCCTCCTCTGGATCCCCCTCAAGTTCCGCCTCCAGATCCGTGTCCAGTTCCGGCTGCACAGTGGCTATGATGGTGCCCTCCTCGTTGGCCTGCTCAAAGCACACATCCAGCAGGGTGGCTCCTCCGCTGGCCTGCAGCCCGGCTATATCCTTGAGATCTATCCAGCTGGCACCCAACTTGTCCGCATCACTCAGAGGCAGACTCAGCACCCTGGTGTCGCTCTCATCCACAATGTGAAAGGACTGCGTGGGCTCGATCTTCACGATGATGGGCTGGTTGGCGAGGATCTGAGCCGGCGGCGCACTGCCCAGCAGGCTGGCCATGTTCTCCTCCTCCTCGTCGGCGGCCTCCAGCTCGCTGAGCTGCTGCTCGATCTGCAGGTAGGTGCTGGTGCTGGGCCCCAGTCCCGACTGGAGCTTGAGCACCGTGCACTTGTCCGTCTGCTGGTACTGATGCTGCTGCTGGGGTCGCTGCAGCAGGGCCAAAGCAGGAGCTCCTCCAGCTACACCGCCTGAACCCGCTCCCGCATCCGAGATGAAGGCCAACGGTGGCGAGGTGCCCGTGGACTTGTTGGACACACTCCTGGCCGTGTGAATCAGCTGGGGCAGGGCTGTAGGAGCAGCACTGGAGGCACTGCTCCTGGCCACAATGGTGGTGTTGGCGGGCAGCGGAATTATCGATATGGAAGGCACCTTGCTGCGCAGATTGGCCACTGCCGCCGCTGTGGCGGCATCGGTGTCGATATACACCTGACCTCCACCCGAGGAGGAGGTGGAGGATGAAGTGGATCTGGCTGAGGAGGAGCTGGAGCTCGAGCTGCTGCCACTGCCCGCGGGCTTGGCCTGCTGGATCAGCAGGAGGTCTCTTGGCCTATCCGTTGTGGCGGCCGTTTCCTAACCCAGACTCGCAAAGATTCAAAAGTATCTGAGGGATTCGTGTGCCTCGGCTTAATCACTAATCACTCACTGCTCACTTTCACTTGGTTCATTGCTTGCCTTTATTTTTTGTGTATTTTTTTTTTTTTAGAGGGGTGTAGAAGCACAACATCGAAATAAATTCAAAATCAGCCTTACGAAAGTGCACTTAAAAAATTGCCGAGACTAATAAACAATGTGTTTTGTTAATTCCTTCGATTGCTTGTCAATTGGTGTAGATACCGGAGCGGGAAGGGGGCTCAGGGGGGGCTCTTGTGAGATGCACCTGTGCGTTTCGTTTCGTTTCGGGGCTCGTTTTTGGTTCGTTTTGCAGCTGGAAATACGCGTCGTATACTCAACGTAACTTTTGTGCCATATCCTGGAGATTGTTTATTAAATGATTTTATGCGATCTATTTTGTTGCTTATAGTTTTTTAATGGTCTTTTGATTTTTCGGAATATTTGTTTATGTTTTTCTTGGCCACAATATGTTGCTGTTGCGATTGCGGGGCTATTGTGCAGCAATTGTTGCTGTGTATCGGTGACTGTGACTGTTTCTGTATCTGTGTCCTTTGGTGCTTGTGGTCGTTGTCATCCTCGCTTTCGTATCCTGCTGCTGCTGCTGTTGCTGTTTTTGCTGTTGTTGCTGTTGCTGCTGCTGCTGCTGCACATGCAACGCGTCGCCGCTGGATGGCTGCAAGGCTGCGCTGCAGCATTCGGTGGAAGCAGCGCCATTGGAACTCGACGACGTCAAAACAGTTGGAAGTGTGTCGCTGGTGCTGCTCCTGCCTGTACGGCCACTGCCACTGCTACTGCTGCTGCTTCTCCTGCTGTTGATTTCCCACATTGCGGCACGCAACCCTCTTCTATGCAACCGCCGCCACCCTTAATGCCACCTCACAACCACAATAACAACAACCACCAGCTGTGTGAGTGAGTGGAAAGTGGCCACTGGGCTTTGGCTTTAATAATCGATTTTTCAGCGGCACCCATGCAAATCGATAAAAACACTCACAGATATATATTCGAATATCTTAGATATTCAACATGTTATTCCACTATTTTCCGAGTTTATTTCACACTTTAATATTGTTTCGTTTTGATTTATATTTTAATTTTCTTTAAGTTTTCTTCAATTTACAACGCGCGCGTTTTTACTATTTATTTATTTATTTGTATCTTTTTCTGTTTCGCACAAAACTGCAAAACAGCAGCTGACCGGAGCTGCGTCCTTTACAGGAATGTGTCCCAAATTCGAGTGCCACAAACACAGTTCGCCGCCGTGGCGCTGCACAAACTTTCCGTTTCGTGGGGGTTGCGCCTCAGTTTCAGTGCGAAAATCGCAATAACGAGAGTGTGTGTGTGTGTGTGTGTATCCCCGCATGCAACTCGGAAAATGGGGCTCGCTGCGAACTGCTGCGAAAATAGGGTTAGTAGGCATAATGCCAAGTGCATAGCCAGGAAAAACTGGAAGCGGCAGCCCGACGGTGGAAGCGAGTGAACGAGGAAGCTCGGCAAAGACTCGGGAACTCGGCAGCTCGGAAAACTCGGAAACGTACATTGTTGCGCAGCTTTTCCACCCTTAGCTAAAAGAGCGAGGGTGTGAGTGCCTGCCGCTGTGGGAAATTCCCGTTGTGGTGGAAATGGAAAACAGAGGAAATTTCTGCACACTCGAGGTGGAAAGCCAAAGGGCGGTAGTTTTTGAAATGGGTGGAAATTTGAGGGAATTTCCTTTCAAAGAAGAGTTTTTTAAGGAAGAAATTTTATAAATATATTAATAAATTAACAGTTAAAGCTTCTTATACATAAATTAAAGGCTTTAAGCTACCAAAAATTAATTGCCAAATTTGTTAATAACCCTCACCGCCATAGGCCTCCAGTTTTCAGTAAAAGATAAACCCAATAACAGCTATATAACCGCAACAATTCATTCCATAACTGCGTGACGTGACCCCCAAGAGACCAGAAAAAAAGGGAGAACAAGTCGGGCATTGGCCAACTCTGGCAGCGCGAATTTGGACTAATCGCCTAACTGGGCCCAAACCTAACAGATCTCGGATATTGGCCATCATTAGAGGGCCCTCTTGATGGGCTGAGTCAAGCATTGGCATTAATATTTCATGTTTTTCCGTTGCTTAAATCATGTTAGATTTATTTTGTGGTGCTTCGAGCTGCTGCCTGCCTGCTGACTGCCTGTTGTTGGCCGCTTGCGCAACGACAATCAAGAGCTAACTGGTTCTGCCAGCGACTACTTGCAGCTAACTTGGCTAAAACACCGTTGGTTCTAACGTGAACGTGAAAATGTGTGCCTCACCGTTGTAAACTTCTTGCGGCTGGCAGCCTGCTGGCTTGGCTGGCTCGGTTGTCTCATCTATTGCAAGTCTGTGCCGATTCTAACCTGTTTTCTTCTGCAGAAACTCTCCGAAAAAGTCCCGTAAGAAAGTCCCAGTTATTCAAGAGGAAAAACCTGTTACACGCAACTGGCTCAAAGCTGATTGCCAAGAAAAAAGAAAAGAAAAAAGAACCACGAAGAACAGAAGAACTTGTAGCCACAATAGCCACCGACAAACACGTTAGTACCGTTGCCTCGGATTCTTTGTTGCGCAACTGTGTTGCAAGATTAGCTGCGACTTCCAACCTCCAACTGGTTTATTGCAGCCCCGCCGCTGTCGATGAGGCAACATTTTGCCCATTGCCGTTGTGCTGTGTTCTGTGCGCCGTTGCTGCCTTGAAGATGTGGTAAAATGGTAAAATCTTTTGGCCAGAATCGGAAATCCAGCAGCTAGCTAGCTTCGCTGCGTTTGCCTTGCATGTCTTGCAGCTTGACTGCATATCCCATCCATTTATTTGCGGCTATTGAAAGCCGTTGCCTTTTATAATCAATTAATGTATTATTTTTTTTCTGTGTCTGCCTAATGATTCCATTAGGCGGTCTTAGCCAAGCAAGGTTGACGGTGGCCCAGAGAAACTCGAATTTTTGATTTGGAAAATTGGTTTCAAAAAGAAAACTATGCAATGTTGTGGCTTGAAATTAGTTAGTGGATAAATATGTTTTCTTATGATCTTTAATTATTACATAATATATGGATCAATAATATATTTAAGCAGCTAATAAGTTATTATATTTAATTGCTAATGTTTACATTTGGAAAGGCTGTAACCTTCACTAAGAACTTTTGGCTAATGAAAGCAGCTACTTGTTCTGGTTTCTTCAAGTAGAAAATTGTTAAGACAAAGACAGATAAATGTTGGTTAATACAACTAATTATTTTTAATTATTTTTTAAATTTGCATTAATTTGCATACTTTTTTGGGCTGAAGATTTAAAGCTTATTGGAAGTAAATCAATTATAATTTATTTAAACCTTTAATAAATTAAAAACTGTCTATAAAATAACATTCTGATATCGTTAATACCAATAATAAATTGTTCCATTAATAATCTATTATTAAATTAAAGTTTTATTTTAATAGTACTAATAAATTCGGGCTTCTATTTGGTATAAACTACTTTATAAATATGTAATAGTACCTATAATTGCTGCTATAAGCCTTCAATTATTATATTAAAATAATTCCAACCATTAACCTCTCTTGGCATATATCATAAAAGAATGATATTATAATAATATATATAAATTATATGTATATATATTTCTTATATTAATTTATGTGCATTTCAATAACAATATTTTATACCAATATATATAATATGTATTTGTAGCCCTCCACCTCCCACTCACCTCTAATGGTGCTTGGCATGGTAGTTCCAGATTCTTGGCTCTCATCAATGGACAGATGACTTTCATTCACACACACTTGAACTCATTGGAGCAGTGTCAAGGCTCTGAACTCTTCACTCGACCAGATCATGATCATGATCGCAGAGAACCCGCGAATTAGTTCAAACCGTTTTCAAACGGTGAAATTAGCCGGTGACGTAGATGACGATGATGATCGCTTGCCGGCGAGCGGAACGAAGCGCCTCGGAACGGATCGGGTCAGGAAGGATGGAGAGCTAAATCAGAATCGGAATCTGGAGATCCGGAATCCGTGTGGACTGGACTGGACGTGGGGACAATCGATTGCACACTAAATGGCGAGAGGCCGAGTCGAAGACCCGTTGCATCCCATGATCATGATTATGATCATCATCCTCTTCAACTGCGGTGGAAGCGGAATCATCATCCTCGGGCGCTAACCGGGAACCTGTGCGGAGGCGAGCAAAAAAAAAAGAAGAATAAAAGAAACCAGCTGAAACCGAAACAGCAACAGAAACAGAAGCTCAGCCGAGAAAGGAGAAAGGAGCTTCAAGAAGTTAGCACACACGCACACCACCACCACCACACCTGTAAGAATTCCTGCTAATTAAATGCGTGATCACTGCCCAAAAATATCCACGCAGCAACCAAAAATAATAAAAAAACAGTGAGGTGTTCCTAGGGAGAACTGGCTTTAAAGATACTTTAAAGAATCTGAAAATGTAATGAGTAAAGATACAAAGATACTTATTATAAAATAGGTGTGATGGTTTTTTGGATCAAAAAAGATACTGAGAGATACTAAAAGATATTTCTTAAATCATATAATAATAATTTCCAATTAGAAAAGAAATATCTTATTATATTGGGCTTGAAAATGAAATATTTCATTTAAAAAGATATAATAGATACATCTGAAGAACTTAAAGATACTAAGATACAGATGTATCTTAAAAAACTTTTACCATGAAAATAAAAATATAAAAACAACAATTGATTATATATTTATTCATTTAAATTTTGTATTTCGTAAGTAGAACTGTATTGCGAGTTTACAGATACAAATACCACATGCCGTGAGAGGAGTCATGCGTGCATTTCATCAGAGAATCAGAGATGGGATGTTATGTCCGAAAGTTCGGAGCCAGAGTTATAGTACTCGAACTCGTACTGATACTCGCAATTGAACTCGTACTCGAAAGAGTCAGAGACCCGAAACCCGTGACGTTGTATCTTGTATCTTTTGTACTTGTTGTTGTCTCTTTTTTGGGGCCCGTCATCGGAGCTTGCTCAGTTGCACCTTTAATCGCTGAATAAACAGGAAGACTTCTACGGCAAACATACACACACACACACACACACACAAGCAAGCAAGCAGAAAGAGAGCGCGGGAGAGGTGGAAAACAGGTTGAGAAGTACCGCTAAGCGGGCAGCAGAAGCAGCGAAGAACAAGCAGAGACCCCAACACTCGGCAACGGAGGTCAACGAACGTTCTTAGCGCTCAAGAATGAAGGAATCAAAACACACGAAAAAACCCAGGCAGAGACAGAGAGAGAGAGAGCAGAAGAGAGTGCCTAAGAGACATGGGGTGAAGAAAGTACAAGAAGAGAGAGAAAGCCTAAGCGATCGCTTTAAGAGAGTACACACAGGTGAGCTACAAGCAGTACAGCGGCAAAGAGAAATGATCTTTCCTCGCTTTTTTGTTTATTTTTTATTTTTTGTATGCACATGCACTTTTGAAACGTATTTATCTGTTGCTCAAAGCTAAATAAAAGCTTATACGAAATGTATTTATAGCCGCAAATTTAATAAGAATGCAAAGAAAGCGCGGGGGTGAGAACAAAAGCCGCTTTGTAACTGTTGCTGCTGCCTGTCGTTGTCGACTCATGCCCAAAAGAAACCGAAATTCTTATTCTTATTGCTCAATATTTGGTAATACACACACAGATACAGTACACACACACACACTCTAAAGCGACGTGCAAAAGCCATTCAATGTAGCGGTATTTTGTCGAAATTTTCAGAGTCTCCGCGGAGACGAGTACAAAGCTCATTGACCTCTCTCTTTCTCTCTCTATCTCCTTATCAGCGGTGCTCCCTGCTTACCCCACCTCTACCTTGTAACAAGTGTGTAATGAGCGGGGCGCTTGATTTGCTTCTCTGATATTTTGGGGCGTTTCTTAAAGCGAACTTAAAAAACTTCCAACTAACTGTAGAATTTATGCCTTCCTGTCTTGCTATGTATTTTCCCTTGGGAATAGTCTTTTAATCCGTATTTACAGTTGGTAAAGACAAACGGGATGCTGAGGAAGCCAGCAGTCTTGGCCGACCGCCTGTTGATCCTGCCTGGAGTTGCCCGCCAGCGATTGGCCAGCTATTAAGGTCCCTACAAACAGGACACTCGACGCCATTGGCCATTCCTTGAACCTCCCTCTCATTGTCTCTCTTTGTCGTGCTGCCTTCGTCCCGTTCGGTCTTGGGTGTCCTTTTTGTTGCCCATCAACAGCCTGTTGCTGATTTTAAATACTCTTCCCTGCGAGGAGGGGTTACCAAAAAGGGTTAAGAAATAAATAATAAAATGTGGTTTATAAAAAATAATATAGTTTACTATTATTAATATAACATAGTAACTTATTTATTTAGATATTTAAACAAATATTAGTGGCAACAGATAAAAAGATATTGTTTGCTTTAAATAACTTCTAAATAAATAGATTTACTTATAATTTAATGCGTATTTAAAAAAGGAACGACGTTCGTCATTATGCCACACTTATTCGTGACGGTCTTGATTCGCTTTAGATGCGGTTTACTAATATATGTGTTAATATTTATGACGGGCTTAGGGAAGATTAACTTAAATAATATATATTTATGCATATATATTTACCACGTGGTTCCGCCACAGTTAGGTGAAAAATTGCAATAGGTGCAGCTAATTATTATTAAATATTGATATAAGATTAAGTAGAATTACAGCAAGATTTAAGGCAGTATTAAATATAATTCTGGAAATCTTTATTGCATCTAAAGAATAATTATTCATTATTACATATTCATAAATTTCGTAGCTTTCTTTTTTTTAATAAAATGTAATATTTAAAGGGTATTTAAAACTTGTAAAGGCTATTTCGATTTTCCTAGCTGCTCCCACGCTTTTTCGCTAAGCTGATTGTTGTTGTCACTCATATTAGGAAAATAGCCATCCTGCTGTTTAATCGCATTTTCATTGGATGAAAATGTCCTTTTTTTCTGGCACGAAGCAAAGCAACAGTTTCCGAGTATAAATAGATCCTGGCTGCCACAGATTTCATTCAGTTCGACTCTGGGTCGAGTCCTGTGCGTGGTAACCTCTGCTGCAATTGTGATTTTGTGTGTTAAATTCGGTAATAAAATAAAAAGTACTTTGAATTGAAATTTGAATTTTGTTAAAATAACAAATAAATAGTTTGTGTGCAGTTAAACTAAAAAATAATTGCTATAAACATTTTAACAAAATTTAATTCGATAAGAAAATAGTGACAAATTTTAGGCAAGTCCTAAGTTAATAAGTAAACCATTTGTGGGTAGTTGATAAAATAACAAATTAAAGCTATAAAATATTTAACAAATATTCTGAATAAAGTCTTTAATACTTTCATTGAATACACCCCAAAATAATTTCAAATATAGAGTAACTAAATAACTATTTTTATAAATAATCCGATATTTTTAATAACATTAATTTGTGGAATTTATAGCCACCAAATTTCAATCTACAACTCCATCACCAGCAACATTGTATGAACCGAAATTCTTGGACTATCAACTTTGGTTAAACATTTAATGTAATAAACAATTAAATGTAATCAACATTCATGTTTTCTTCATTCTAAATGCATGACAAAATGCAGTTGAAGAATTGGAGATGCACGAGTTGAACGGGTGGCAGTCACAGATCGGGCGAGATATATATTTAATTAACGGTATTTAGAATATATAACCGCAGCTATGCGAGTCAGCAAGCATAAACAATTAGAGAGCGCTTTTGACAATTTAAACGGAATTTTGTTTGGGATCAGTTGTGATCTGGAAACGAGCGCCATCCCCTGTATCACCACCCCAGGTATCGTGCTGGGCAGGTGGAACTGAATGACATTTATTTCCATGTTCCGACAACTTGTCGACACAACATCCCGCCACGGAATCGTATCCGATTGGATTTTCCTATGGTATCTAATTGATTTTCTGCGGGTCTATAAAAGCCGGCCACGATCCCGAAAGCCCCTTAGTTATATAGAACAAATATTATCGGTGGCTTAATTGGGTGGCCTAGTCAGTGAGAAACCCCGTCTTCTTCCAGCACCTAAGCACCCAGGTCCACCCCTGTGTTTTCACAGCTGACGGTATTTCCAAGCGCTTTTCTTTCTGTGTTTCTTTTTTTTTCCAGAAGCCCCACAAAATCGGAAGTGTGCTTCGGCCAAGTATCACTATTTCATTATATTGTTAACCATTTTTTCTCTGTGTTTTGCCAGCGGTCAGCGGTTGACATTCCTCCACCACATTTGCCATTCCTATTTAGCCCAAGTTCCCCAAAAAAATGGAGCTGGCCTAGAGAGACACCCAGTGCCAGTGTGTGTGTGTGTGCGAAGTCCGAAGTCCAACGGGATTAGGCCAAACTCACAGAGACTCAGTTAGAGATACAAACACTGATTGCGCACGACAATTGCAGGGGATCTGCGTCATCAGCAAGGGGTTAAGCGGAACGATTGCAGCATGGACTTCAAGGAATACCGTCAGAGGGGTGAGTTTGGGCCAAGACTATAAAAGGCCATAAAGCCATAAACAGAGTGGTAGATGCGTATGTAAATGCCGGACGGAAATTCCGTCCAACGGGGCGTATATTTGATTAGCCCCGAGGCGGATTTGTCCCGGCCGTTTGTCTTCGTTTGATGGCCAAGTAATTGAATTCTCACACTGGCCAAGAAAAGCCCAGCCATTAGACATATATATTACCAAATTGATGGATTTAATATAAACTTTAAAACTAATTCCCTTTGAGCTTTAAATATTATTAAGTTTACTTTAAAAGTATATAAAAAATCTATCTTTAGGCAAGGAAATGGTGGACTATATTGCCGACTATCTGGAGAATATACGCGAGCGTCGTGTCTTTCCGGATGTAAGTCCTGGCTATATGCGTCAACTGCTGCCCGAGTCAGCTCCCATTGAGGGCGAACCCTGGCCCAAGATCTTCTCCGACGTGGAAAGAATCGTGATGCCTGGAATCACCCACTGGCAGTCGCCGCACATGCACGCCTACTTCCCGGCCCTCAACTCGATGCCCTCGCTCCTGGGCGACATGCTGGCTGATGCCATCAACTGTTTGGGCTTCACCTGGGCCAGTTCGCCCGCCTGCACCGAGCTGGAGATCATTGTGATGAACTGGCTGGGCAAGATGATTGGTCTGCCGGATGCCTTCCTTCACCTGAGCCCCAATAGCCAGGGCGGCGGTGTGCTCCAGACGACAGCCAGTGAGGCCACACTGGTCTGCCTGCTGGCAGGACGTACGCGGGCTATCCAGCGATTCCATGAGCGGCATCCGGGCTATCAGGATGCGGAAATCAATGCCAGGCTGGTGGCCTACTGTTCGGATCAGGCGCACTCCAGTGTGGAGAAGGCGGCGTTGATTGGTGGGTTTAACATAATAATCTAATAGGATCTTTAGGATTTCTTTTGAGACGTTGCTCCGTACTATTTTTTTATTGTTTAAGCTGCTTATGGTCTAAGCCACACTCCTTCTCTCCCTCTACTCTAGGACTCGTCAGAATGCGTTATATCGAGGCGGACGAGGACCTGGCCATGCGCGGCAAACTGTTGCGCGAGGCCATCGAGGATGACATTAAGCAGGGCCTGGTCCCCTTCTGGGTGAGTGGCATTCTGTCAAAATTAATTGGCCCGCCTAACGCAGCCAGCTGCGAGACGCGGAGACTTGGAAAGCTCGATTCTTGACTCCCACCGGAGCCAATTAATACATGTCAGCAGTTAAGTTTCCCGTTGTGGTTTATTTTTAGGTTTGCGCCACGCTCGGCACCACCGGCAGCTGCAGCTTTGACAACCTGGAAGAGGTGGGTGGTGTCCAGGGAATACTTCCAATAAGCTACTAGCTTGAACAGCAACTCCCTTTCCCTTAATGACCGTGGAAATTATACTAATTATTCGCTTGGAAAAACTTTTATATTTTAAATTTAAATATATTTCACTCGCAGATCGGCTTGGTTTGCTCGGAACACCACCTGTGGCTCCATGTGGACGCCGCTTACGCTGGCAGTGCTTTCATCTGTCCGGAATTCCGCACCTGGCTGCGCGGCATTGAGCGGGCGGACTCGATCGCCTTCAACCCGTCCAAGTGGCTGATGGTGCACTTTGATGCCACGGCCCTGTGGGTGCGGGACAGCACTGCGGTGCACAGGACCTTCAATGTGGAGCCGCTGTATTTGCAGCACGAAAACTCTGGGGTGGCCGTGGACTTTATGCACTGGCAGATCCCGCTGAGCCGCCGTTTCCGGGCGCTGAAGGTGTGGTTCGTGCTGCGCTCTTACGGGATCAAGGGTCTGCAAAGGCACATCCGCGAGGGCGTGCGTCTGGCCCAGAAGTTTGAGGCTTTGGTCCTGGCCGACCATCGTTTCGAGCTGCCCGCCAAGCGGCACCTGGGACTGGTGGTATTTCGCATACGCGGGGATAACGAAATCACCGAGAAGCTACTGAAGCGTCTGAACCATCGCGGCAACCTGCACTGCATCCCCTCGTCGCTGAAGGGCCAGTATGTGATCCGCTTTACGATCACCTCGACGCACACGACACTGGATGACATCGTCAAGGACTGGATGGAGATACGGCAGGTGGCCTCCATGGTGCTGGAGGAGATGAACATTACTATTTCCAATCGCGTCTATCTCAAGGGTAAACGCAAGGCCTTCTGCATCTAGCAGCCCTCGTTCCCGCTTCCACTACCACTTCCGTTTCCGTTCCTAGTTACCATTTTCTGTTATTTGTATTTTGAGTTTGTTAATGCACCTCGATCCACCTTGGACTCGTTTTCGTTGAGAATATATTTGTCCTGGTTTATACATTTGTTTTTATTTTAAAAAGCTTATTTATATTATTTTTTATATCTGGAAAAAAAAGAAGGTAAATAAATAAAGTTATCCTTGTTTTCCCCTTAGAAACCAAGGAGAAAAGTGAGGCCTTCGGCTCGAGCCTGTTGCTCTCGAATTCTCCACTTTCGCCCAAAGTGGTCAACGGTTCCTTTGCGGCCATCTTTGATGCAGACGAGTTTCTGGCCAAGACTTATGCTGGAGTTCGGATAGCGGTGAGTTGGTTCTGTGCTCAGTTATCCTTCGGCCACTTGGACCTTTGATCTTGCAGCACCAGGAATCGCCTTCGATGCGACGACGTGTGCGCGGCATTCTTATGTCCGGCAAACAGTTCTCTCTGGACTCGCACATGGACGTGGTGGTGCAGACCACCCTGGACGCGGGCACGGGAACCACCAACTCGTACGGACGCACTGCCGTGCGGGAGTCCGCCTCCCAGGCAACTGCCGGAGGTCAGGCTAGTATTCGCGAGGACAACGAGGAGTCGCCGGAAGGTATGAAGCCCAGGTAGTGTAGTCGTCCCTCTAGGTCTATCGCTAGTGGCTAGTTGGAACCCAAGAGTCCCGCTGGAGTATTCCGGAATCCCTGCTAACCACCTTAGTATCTTTGCTCTTAATTTCTAGAAACTGAATTGCTGTCACTCTGCCGTACCCTTAGTGTCCTAGCCCCCGCTTCCGCTCCCTTCCATGCCCACTCCCTGTCCACGGCCAGTCGCAGCTGCAGTTCCGCCTCTCACTCCCACTCGCTGTCGCAGTCCTTTTCCCCATCCAAGTCACCTCCCTTTAACCAGTTCCGACCCATTGCCCTGTGCGGGATCTCTGGCCAATCCACCCTCCCCCTGACCCTGCCCCTGGCCAGTCGCGATGTCACCGTATCCGTGGATAGCCTCCTGACACCAGTCACCACCTGCAACATGTACCATGGCAAGCGATTCCTGGAGCCTTTTGAGACCTTGGCAGCCAGCAGTGCCTCCTTCAGCAGCAGCATCTTTCGTTTGCCCACGCCTCTGGCCACACCTACTTTGGAGCAGCCGGAAGAGGATCCGGACTGGCCAGCCAAGACCTTCAGTCAGCTGCTAATGGAACGCTACTCCTCGCAGTCTCAATCCCACAACTCCTTGTCCTCCTCCTCGACGGACAGCAGCCTTCTAAGCAGGGACGGAGCCACGCCCACGCCCACGCCTACGCCAATGGGCAGCCTGGATGAGCTGGCCACGCCGTTGCTGGAGTCCTTTGCCTCGCCCAACTCGCAGCCCATGCTCTCCGCCCATGGAGTGGGGCAGGAGCAGGGAGAGAGGGAGAGTGACTCGGATGCGACCATTTGTTCGGCAGCCTCCTCAATGGAGTCGCTTTAGTCCTAGTCATTAAGTTAAAACTATTCTTCAGATAAATATTTTAGAGAAGGGATTTGTAGAGAACAAAAGTAATGGGGATTTTAAATTTGAAGAATTTTTGTTTATTGGAAAAAGAGTATTAATTTTATCTTTCTATAATCTATAAAGGGATTGTAAAATGTGTTTATAATATTATTTAAGATTTTTAAACTTTGCAACTTATTTTATTTTTATTTTGAAAACTCCCTATCATTAAATAATTTATTAAAGATAATTATATCAAGTTTATAATGGATTACGATTTATTTTCCTAGTTAAACCCTCTTTATATTTTGTTTTTCTTACTAAAACAATATTTTTAAAATTATATAACCAATTATAATATTATAAATAGGGCTAAATTGTCATAGTTTAACTTAGATCCTTGCGATTTATCAGCTTATTTGTACATATATGTATGTGTGGGAGTGATTCTGGGGGAGGCGGAAGTCTAAGTCATCCATCGCTGCTGTGCAATCAATCAATAATGCAAATCAATCGTAGTACCAATCAATGTTGAATATATAATATATATGCATGCCCATGTCTATATCCTATTGTAAGATAACTACTGAGCAGAGTTAAACTATTACCAATCAAGATCCACAACTATCAGGTTTACAAATATCCATGTTTAGTCAAAAATCCGATTAAAGTTTCAAGGTTCCAGTTAAACTCACACGAAATCTGTTTTTTTTTTGGCTGGGAAATTGATATCTATATTAATTAATGTCTTGTTTTATTTTCATAACATTTTTAATTTTCATTTAATAGATCTAAAAACGAAATCTACTTCTAATTACATTTCCCCTAAATAGAGTCTTTTAAGATCTATTTCAGATACTACTTTAGGAATTTAACATTACTGGAGCTAAACCATTCTGAGAGATCTAGAATAATCTTTTTCCCTATGCCTCCGCTGGGGCGTTCTGCTCCTGGCTCTCACTGCTTGCCGTCGTCGTATTAAAGCTAGTTGTTGACGACGTGAAGGAGGTTGTGGAGGAGTGACTCGAGGCCAGTTTGTAGACTATCTGAGAGTAGAAAGTCAGCAGGAAAAGGATGATGAAGTCCAGAAAGAGGATGAGCGAGGCCAGCAGGTAATCGCTCAGTCGCATCTCTGCAAAGCGTCCACCGTTGATGGTCTGGGCATGATACATCACAAACTGGAAAGGGAAAGGGGTTAAAGGGTTTCAGGTACCTAGGAGTCTTGTGCTCCTTACCAGCAGCACAACAATGCTTATGAAGATCTGGAACACCAAAAAGGAGTACGGCATTGCCAGGATAACGTACACCATGATGAAAAAGATGGTGGACACAAGGAAAATGAAGGCCACCACAAACAGAGTCACCACGTCCAGGGTCAGGTCATGCTGCAGAGAAGAGGTCAAGCTTTACATGAAGGTCCTAAGTATTGATAACACCTCTTACCGGCAGAATGGACCCAAGCAGGATAAACACGAAGAGCAGCAGGACGCACACAAAGAACCACAAAATCAGGTCTGGCCATAGGGTTTTGGCCGCCAGGGCAAACAATCCGACGATTACAAACTCTACCTGGATAAGGCAATCCAAGCAATATATTATATACAAATTGTATGTAACTATCACACTCACTATCAGAATGGTGATCACCCAGTTGAGCACGATTATATAGCGAATTTTCTCGATGAAGATGAAGAGCGTAACCAAAATCATAGCCAGCACAAAGAAGATAATGCTGATCCAGTACCAGTCAATGAACACATCTCGAACCACCTCTCTAAAAACAGACACAGACCATATCATAACCAACTCCCATTCTCAGCCCAACTCACATTAGGGAAATAACCAGCCACTGAATGAGGGCCAGCACCATCCAGAGCACGGTCAGCATGTAGGAGAGGCATGCAAACTTACGGCGGGCCCGCCGGTATGCCTGCTGTCTCTGACGACGTTCCTCCATGATGGCGATGGACTTCGGTGTGGGATATGAGAAAATAGGAATAGACCAGAACAAGGCTCAAACTTAATGGTTAAGTCAGAGCAACTCTGATCTAGGTAGACATTTCTGAGAGTCTCTCCTAGAAATTATTAATACCTATGAAAATTGAGCAGTTGATCCTTCTTGGTAGCCTTGTAAAGGCTGATCTTTTGGGGTTTCATTGCTTTTTTTTATGATAATTCGGGGTTAATTTATATTAATCTCACAATATGATCTTTGAAATATCAAAGAAAAAGCAGAAAAGCCCTTGGAAAATAGGCTTCTTTTGACTTTTATAAATATTTTCCCAGTTTAGTGGAAGTTTGTGGGGATTTTCTACGAATAAGAAATACATTTTAATCTTTACTTTTATATTATAAAAAAATATTAATAGCTCTATTTTTAACTCCTATCCTATAGATCCTACTATTATTACAGACTAAGATGCTATTGAGGTCCTTCTGAAACTCCTCTCTAGACCACCCTTGAAGTAAGGAAGGCGCATGCGCGGACTATCGAAACAGCTGAGCGAAATGTTTACGCAAAAAGTGCCATCCTTTTCTCCTGGCGCGGCAGTTGCTCAGTGCCAAGCACCTGGTCTGGTTTGGTTTGTTTGTCGGGGTGGCGCGACTCGGGTTTGGTTCGCCGGAAAATCAATACAATTTCCCTTTTGACAAGTGCAGTTGAATGGTGGTCGCTGAATGTAAATAAATGGATAAACTGTTTCGGGCAAAAAACTCTGGTGGATTTCCTTGGATTCGGTTAAAGTGTAGGTGGCATCATGTATTTTCAATTGGATGACAGACAAGTATCTATATAAAACGTACATATCAAGGACCTTTGGCCACGGCTACAATACGTAAATGTGTGTTTGGTTTAACATTAAGTTTTAATAATTACATTCTGGTTAAATATATATATATATATATGTTTTAGGCGCGATTTTAGTAAGTTATCTTCTTTTGAATTTTCCTCCCCTCCTCTGTGTGTGTATGTGTGTGCTTTCGCGAAAGGATTCCCGTCCTAGAATAGTTGTTTGGTCCATTTCCGTTCCGTATCCTCTAAGACTTGTCCGGAGGGGGAGGGATATACTGGGCCTCGTTGACTGCCTTAGCTCCTCCACCACTAACGCTGCCACTGCTAGATGGCCAGACCGACACTAAAACGGGAGAGCACACATGTTAGATGTATTTTTAAGGGAGTTTAGAATATATTCAACAAGTTATTCTTGGTTGGCAGGTAATAAAAATTACCTTAAAATATCGAAAATTAACTAAAATAATTACTATAAACTTGTAATCTTAGGGATTCAGTTGATTTCTTAGAATAAATTGAATTGTTTCTGTTCTAAATCTAAGAAAACAAAGTTGATATTTATTATTTTAAAGAGTATTGTTTAAGAGACGAACTTTTACCTCAAAACATTAGTCACAGAAATCGCCTTAGTCACAGATAAATTCTATTAAATGTATTACGAAGGCGAGTAATAGTGACATGTGTAATCTACGTCATAAATATTAATAAACAATCATGTTTAAAGACTTTAGTCAACTGCTTCTTAATTTATTTAATATTTTAAACTTGAATATGTACTATTGATGTTTTTAAATTGTAGAATATAACTTTTTCAGCCTATGTATATATTCCAAACCTCCTTCTCTTATATGTATCTAAACTTTACACCTTAAATTCCGTTAAAAATCTCTCTTAAAAACGAACCCCAGTCACTAAACACGAGTTTCTAATCTTAGAGACTAAACAAATATGATAATTAACACTTAAGACAGAGACACAAGAACAACAATTACCTTTCGACTTTTGGAGTTGCTTAGCCTAATATATATTATATAATTTAATATACAATTTAGTATGTATGTGGTAGAGTAGGCCGGCACACGCACAGAGGCGTGCTTAACGATAAATCTGAACCTTAACTTTGCTGTATGGAAAACGGAATAGCTTTTGCTTTTCTGTGTGTGTGTAAGAGGGCTTAATTGTATCAATTGAAAAGCGACACTGCAAGTAAACAGAAATTCACAACGGATTGTCATCAGTACGAATAGTTTCACTTATGGGGTTAGTTGGTGCCGTATTGGCCACAGATTGGAAGCAGATTAGCAGGTTAGCGAGTGCCGAGACCACAGGTTAAGCAAGATTAGGGCGTGCAGGGCGTCGACTTGTGTCTTTAGTTACCAGAAATCAAACCTGCCACCTAGCTACACACTACCGATCTTTAGTCTGATCGAAAGAAGCCATTAATACCACCACCAGATAAAGAAGCCCTAAAAGCAAAAGCCAAAGCGAAGTTCATAGACTTACCCAGGACAATGATGAGCAGCACGACGGCGATTACGCCTAGGATGATCATCATCTTCATGTTGGCCCACCACTGCTTACGCTTCAGCTTGCCGGCCTGCTGCTCAAACTGGGAGGCTCCCTGCTCCAGCTGATCGGCCCGCTCGCCCAGCTCTGATAGCTTCTGGTCCCGCTCCAGCACCTTCTCCACGTTCACCCGCATGATGCCGACCACCTCGTCCACCTTGGCCTGTGTCTGCTGCAGGCGCTTGTTGGCCGCATTGTTGTTGCTGATGTGATGGTCCCCATATTGATGATGATCGTAGTTGTTGTCGTGCGCGTTCGGTGGTGGCGGAAGTATGGGAAAACTGTACAATATTATGTGTGTTTGTGGGGGTTCCTTACACTTATGAACAGGAGCCAATTGTGGTTCAAGCTGCAGCGTAGAAAAGCAAGGAATGTCTGGGTGATACCCCTTAGCTAGACATCCGGGTGTATTATCTAGAAGCCATTTCTTTTCTTTATCTTAAGTATATGCATTTCTGATAAGCTTTATGGGGGGTTTTAGATTTCTAACAAGTCTATTTCTTCGTCTGTTTTTTTGTTTTACTACTATTTTTGGGCTTTAATTAAAAGTGATTTGTAAAGATCGCAGCTTAATCGTGACTAACCTAATTAAAAAAGGTTTTGAAAAACTATTACAGATGGAGATTTCAATATTTTTACATCGTTTTATCGTTGGAGTATAATTTTTTTATCTAAAAACATGCTAAGCATAAGAGGTTAAGGATAAATATATAGGTTATCCCCTTTATAGTACCGTGTAACATACCAAAATATAATTAATTAACCTTTTTCTATCATAAATTATCTTTTTGCAGTAAAATTTTCGAAAAATTTTAGAAATATCCGACTTTATCTATGTAAAATAAACTATTTTCTATACTAATTTCTTTTATCTTGAGAATATTAGGCCTCTTTTAGAGAAAATGTACTCTTTTTCTATACTATTTTCCTATAATCTCTAGTATATAAACAATTAACCTATAGTTTTTATATGTAAACATGACTTCCCCACCGATATAGCTTCCCTTTTACATATACTACAACTCCTAGGGTATTCCAAAGGTCGTTTGTACTGCCACCGCTAGACTTTCTTTCCGGTTTTCGGTCTATTAAGAGCCATGACGTCACTTGAGCGGCTTTTCCTTGCTTTTCGTGTGCTGAGCCTGTTGCTTCGATTCGATTTCCATCGAGGCGTTTGCACTTACTCGTTGTTATTGGATCCAGAGGGTGTGGGGGCTTCGTTGTTCTCCATTGTGATACTGTGCTGCTGCTGCTTTGGGGAATCGAATAAAGGAAACTTGTTAGCCAATTTATTAAGTTATAATAACAAGTGCAACTGTCGCACACACATGCACGGTGGGACACACGCACACCCCGAAAAAGGGTAGATTGTGAAAACAAAAGGAAAGAAAACAAACGGCGCACACCTTATCTATTCGGCGTATGAATCACTCGCGATTTGGAGGAATGCCATCACCAACGGGGCGAAAAAGAACTTGTTGCGCTCCGCCACGGCCGCCGTGGTGCCAACGCACTCTGTTTACATGGCCCAGAGGCCGCCCCCCACCCGCCGGCACTCACCTTGACAATGGGTCCTTGGAATACTGCTGTGGAGTTCGGTTTTTCCGGAAAAATCTACAGCCTGCCTTGTAAATAGCACAATTTTTTTTTTTATAAATATCTATCAACTTGTGATCGGTATGCCAGTGCTGCCAGTTCAGCTAACTTCAAGCTAAATCTAGCATATCTGAAAAGGCTTCTTGCAATTTAGCCTTAAAAATATCTTACTTTAATATTAATTTAAACTCATTTATAAAATAATATAATTATTACGATTGGAATTAAGGATTTATTTTATTAGAAAAATATGTAAATATAATTTTCCGAGTCTTATATATTTTTGTTTTCTTTTTAAATAATAACTTACGGTCTGTATTTATGGATTATTAATAATAATTATAATAAAACAGCATTTTTTTTAATATTCTAGTATATAATTTTAACATATTTGTATTGAGAATCTAGCTTTTATAGGTTTGACGGGTAATTTGCCAACACTGTCGGTATGATCTAGAGGGGGAATATCGATGTTGCTAGCTATCGATATTTTTAAAGGGGGGGAAACTTCGATATTTTTGTGGTAGGCATGGCAGCTGGTCACACTGTGATGATCACAATGTGATCTCAAATTAGAGTGAAGAATGAAACCAAAGGATCAACTTGGACTTGTTTTTGGTTTAAGAGTTTATGCCATAAACTTTATGGTATGGATGAATTTTGTATAAATCGAAGGAAAAAAATAATAAGCAAAATTTGCTATCAATTTAAAAATTAAAAAGGTCATTCAAGGTTTTTTCTATTAGGAAAATGTTTCCATTTTGTTAAGTGTGCTAAATTGGGTTTTAAATTAATGTAAAACGTTAATTTATTTGTATATAATCTGTTGTTCATTAAGGGGAAAATTTTTTTGGTCGATATCATTAAAAGTCCTAAATTAAAACAAAATACATAATTTCAAATATTAATTATTAATTTAAAAAAATGCAAAATGCAAATATTCAAATTGCCCCCCATTGTTTTTAGTGCAGTGCAAACATACCAGTGTGTACACACCCACACAAAAGAGAGATGCCAGATTAACCAAATTCACTAACGGTTTTTTGAAATTATATATCTTACAGAACACATTCCTTAAAAGGACTATGGAAAATGCATAACTCCCTGGTGTCCAAATTGCTGGTCCGCCTGCTCCTCCTGTTCGCCTTGGTGACCGCCGCCTCCATTGTGGTGCTCACGAAATGCGGATTCGACGAGCTGACGGCGCAGGAAACGCAGCCAAACAGCCCCAGCAGCGAGGCCAGCGGCTTTAGCTACGCGCTCAGCGAACGCGAGGCGGCCATCGAGCGCCTGAAGCAGGAGGTCCTCTCGCTGCGCACCCAGATCCTGTTCCTGCAGAGCAACAATCGCAGCAGCGCAGCCAAGCCACCGACCACAGGTAATGGCAGCCTGCAACTGCAGCTACAGGAGACCACGGTGGCTCCGTCGCCTTTGGCGCACCACTACGACTGCAGCAGCTACATCCGGAAGCAGGTGGGCGCCGCCGAAATCCTGCACGGCCTGCCGCTGAACAACGAGTACGAGCTGATACCGTACAACCACTTCACCTTCACCCGGGTCTATCCCATCGATCTGGGCCTGGGCAAGCGGGTGGTGGAGAAGCCCATTGGCTACCGGCGACGCGACCTCATCGAGGCGGTGAATAAGGCCCTGGAGAGCCTGAATCGTAACCACTCGGCCAGGATACGGTCCAAGGGAGCCGCTCTTCCAGCAGGTGATCAAGGGGTGATCAAATACACGCTGGACGACTTCATCGAGGGCATCTACCGCACAGAGCCCACAACGGGCACCCAATACGAGCTCTATTTCCAGAGTGTCAAACACCAGGCGAGTCCTGTGCGCAGGGCTCTGGTGATGCGACCCTTTGCTCCCCTGCAAACCGTGCAGCTATCGGAGTTGTCCCTGAATGGAGGGGATTCCCAGGCAGCTGCTGGTCCCACCGTGATCCATGTGATACTGCCCTTGGCGGGACGCTTGCACAGCTTTCGCAGCTTCCTGCAGATGTTCGCCAAGCTCGAGGATCGCCGGCTGGAGCTGATAGTGGTGTACTTTGGAGTCACTGGGTTGGACCAGGCCAGGCGCATGGCTGGCAGATCGGAGAGGACGCAGTTTTTGGCCCTCAATGAGACTTTTAGCAGGGGTAGGACTAACTATAAATAATATTTATTATTATTTAATACATTTATTTTCCTCTTTCTCCTCAGCCAAAGCCTTAAGACTGGGAGCGGAACATATTAAGCCCGCTGGAGAGGATGTTCTGCTCTTTATGTGCGATGTGGACATTATGTTTACCACCAGATTTCTGGAGCGATGTCGCTGGAATGCGGCACCAGGCAAGAAGGTATAAGAAGTCGCTTAACTATTAAGTTATTAAAATAAATAATTAACAAAAATTACTTGTTTCAGGTCTATTACCCCGTGGTCTTTAGCCTATACAATCCCCATGTGGTGTATACGCTGCAGGGCAAACCTGTGCCCAGCGATGAGGAGCAGCTTGTGATCTCAAGAGACACAGGTTTCTGGCGTGACTTTGGTTATGGCATGACCTGCCAGTATCGCTCCAACTTCCTGCAGGTCCGGGGCTTCGACGAGGAGGAGATTGTGGGCTGGGGTGGCGAGGATGTGATGCTCTATCGCAAGTACGTACGCTCCAAGATCAAGATCATAAGGGCCACCGATCCAGGGATCTTTCATCGCTGGCATACCAAAGTAATAGTATTTCAATTAATATTGATTTGTTAATTATCTAACTTGATATTCTTGACAGATCTGTTCCAATTCACTAACTGCCGATCAGTATAGGGCTTGCATACGCTCGCGAGCTCTGAACGAGGCCTCACATGCCCAACTGGGTTTCCTGGCCTTCCGGGATGACATAGCCGCTGCTAATGCGGCCAAGCTACACTCGTGATACTGGTGCATCCTGCAGGTATCCTTGAATATTTGGCTACTCCATCTAAGGCGGACATTTCAGTGTGTGTGTGTGAAGCAATGGCAGTGATTTATTAACTATAATTTACACAGTTTGTGATGTTATTTTACATTTAGAGGAATTTAGTTAGCAAATTAAATCATAAATTAAGACATTTCCTCTTTAATTTTATTAAGAATTTATGTATTTATTTATTTTATCAACAAACTTAGTAAAATCCAAGATCTGTTTAGATAGGATTTATCAAAATAATGTGATATTGGGTTGTATAAAACTATGTCTACTTACTGTACTGTCTCTTTTAATATCTCCTAAATTTATTTACTATTTAAATCTTCTATAAATTACTTTTACAATCACTGCTCTTAGCTTACACCTGCCTAAACACACACAAAAACTATATACTTGCCATTTACAAGTATGTACAACTTGAGACAATAACTCGTATTTAGCAGTATCGTTGAATTAGCTTAATTGTTGATCTTGTTGCGCCCTTCGAGAGTGCCACACACTCACACACTCTGACCCTGAAACGGAAACGGAAACAAAAGGATCTCCAAAACACACACGCACATCACAATTGTTCTTCCATGAAGCGAACTAGATGCAATCTCCAAAGAGCCCAAGAAATTATATATAGTATTATATTTACCATATCGAATCTGTGCGGCAAACTGGGCCTGAGCGCTTTGTAAAAACTAAATTAAATCGTTTAATTAAACTTGTCGCCTGCTTGTTTTTTTTTTTCGCTGGCTGGTTCTGTGTTTTACGAGTAATACCTGTGTTTTTTATGGACAAAGCCAACGACCTCCGCGCGGGGTTCACTGAGCATGCAGACCAAGAAGGTGATCTTTCACCTGGTCTCCGACTCACCGTGAATATATAGTTTTTATTTATTTCTGCAAAGGTAATTTGTCATGGTTTGGAAAAGGTTTTCTTTACGTTTTTATTTCAGGTAACGGTTGTGGATGGGGAATTATTTTTGGATGTAAGTAATCAGGGTGTTACAATTAATTCTGAGGGGTGAAATTTTACTAATTAAAAAAATTTCTAGCGGATTTAAAGGCTCTAAATATATGTTTATAAATTCCAAAAGGTTTTAGGAATAAATTTATTCATTTTAAGGGATTATTAACAAAGTTTAGCAGTAGGTAAATAGTTCCAAATTTCTTTAATTAGCAAAAGAAACCCCTCTTCTTCTATAATCTATATTAAATATACTACAACCCCCATTTCCCCTTAGAGTATCCATAGCTTCATCATTAAGATTTCTTAAATTTTGAGACGTCTTCAGCTGGAAAGCCTTTTCATGGTCACGGTCATGGATTATGTAAGCGCCTCTGAAAAGTGTTTTGTTCCAGTTGGAAGTGGAAATACTAATCTCCTCTTTTCATGCCAAGTCTGGGGGCCCTGCCCTGACTCATCCCAGAATAAGAGCCGAATAATCTGCGATAATTTCACAGGAGTGTTCTTTGGGGCATTACGCCATCATAGACGGAATAATTAGCCCCCCCGTCTCGACGAAACAATCAAGGCGTTCGCTGGCCACATCCTCCTCCTGTCTGTCATTCTCCGAAAGCCAAACTGACCGTGAAACGAGAGCGGAGACCGCCCCAAGGTGTCGGTTGGAGCAGGCGGCGAGGTGACAAATCGTCGACGTCCCGGCCCAAAAAAAAAACTGAAAACCGAGTGCCAACACCTTAGCCACGAATGCCAACGAAGCATACAGCGGAGAGCAGCACCTCCACCATAATAGCCACGATGATCTGGTGGTGGTGCTGGTGGATCGCGGTTCAGTGCTCTCGGCGGGGGCAGAACCACTGCTCGGGTTGGAGTTCAAATAAATACGGCGCCCTCTGTTCCGAGCAGATCATTCGCGGTCTGAAGCCAGTCCGAGAAGCTCCGACTCCGACTCCGGCAAATCGTTGTGATAAAGTGCGCAAAGGATATTCCTTCGATTAGAATTTTTAGAGAGGCACAACGCCAGGTGTGTCAGGTGCTAAATTTGTGTTCGATTCGGTTGAAGACAGTGGAACGGGGACACCATGAGAGCTGTCATGTTGGTGAGTTGTGTTCATGGGAAAGCCTGACTTCTATTGGGATTGGGAGAAATTGTGAACTGTTGGATATATTTTTTAAGCGAATCTTTGCTTTTATTAACCAATATTAAAAAGTTTTAATTAAAATTGAATTTAAATGAAAAAATTATTTATAAAAATAAGCTGTACAAAGGAAAACGCATTGTTAAACAGTATTTAAAAAGGTTTAATTTTATAAAACTTGTAGGGATCATTTGAAACGTTCCCAGTTCCTTGCTTATTTGTTCTTAAGAATTTTAATTTTTCTCCAAAGAAAACACTTTCGAAGAATATCTTTTTTAAAATGTAAAACAGCAGTCAAATATCTCTCAAATCTTTTGAAAAAAAAGCTTTATAAGAATCTGAAAAATACCTATAAATTACCACAAATCAAAATAAATTATTCTAAGCTCTTAAACCAAATGAAAAACTACGTACGGGGCATTCAATTTGTTCAGCAATTTAATTTGTTCTTTCAAAAGAATTATATTTAAGAATAAGGAATCTTTTTGAAAATATAGAAATAAGAAATTTAATAAGATGAATATTCTATTTTTAATTGCATTTTTATTTTGTCAATATAAGCATATTAAATATACAACACTTATATATAGAAATGGGAACAACTTTGTCCTGAAAATAATATAATTTCAAGCCGGTTTCCTAAGATATTCATATAGCAAGAAGCATCCCTTTAACCATTTAAAAATGTCCTATAAAAACCCACATAAATCTATCTATGACACCTATTGTGTCTATCTAAACAATAAGTCTGAAACATTTAAGATTATAAATGTACATAAAATCCTAGTCCACTTTCAACTTTCCACGAAATGTGACCCCCAAAAGGTGTTGTGTAACATGGGTATTCTAGATTATGCAACCCCCGAAATATTACGATGATGTTATGTAAATTCAACCAAAAATTCCCAAAGAACTCACCAAGAGCCCATTCATTAAATTTCGACGGCAACGACCCTCGCGGCCGGTGAAACTATTTATAATCCCATACCAATCGGCGGTACTCGCTCGAAATATAATTATTCTAATGAAGTTGGCCAGAGTCAGTGACAAGTCACATGGATCCGCAGGCCACAGCAGAAGCTATAAGCCCCAAACACCACCGATTTGGCCGGAAGTTGTTCCTGATGCTTGGCTAACAAAGCGTGGCGGCGGCCAGCTAGCAAAATATTTTCCATGATTAACTCTGCTCGGGCTGGCCATTCTCGCCATATACATATGCTATGTGGAGTTATGATTCCAATTCGGAGTCCAAAATCTGATTCATGCAGCCCTGAGTCGGGCTCCGAAATGATGTCAATGCTACCACCACCACCACCACCACCGGGTACTACTTCTGGCCCGGCAAAAATCCATTGCATAATCGCTGGGGTAGCTGGCTGATCATATTTCACGCCGACTGGCCACAACGTTGTCGTCGCCGTCGTCGTCCATTTTAAAGCGGTGTTCATCTGTGGAATGGGATGGCTTTGCGCCCTCCCCAATTACGATCGGAGGCTGCCTGGCTGCCTGGCTCTGCCATGGAGCTCTGTTTTGGCCCAGTTGGCAGCTGAACCGTGAGATATGTATTGGCTGGCTGATTTCCCGGCTTAGCCGTTGGCAATAGGCCCACTCAGCTAGAAGCAATTAAAGCCAATCAACTAATGATGATCGCACTCTCGATCGCTTTCTGTTCTTTGAACAGAGGGACAAAATATATCGCCATCATATCTGGTTTAATTGAGTGCGGCGACATATATATTTTAGAGGATCTTATCGGTGACATAGATCGAAATAAAATACCAATAATGAAAGATGAATAATAGGTTTGGATATAATGTATTTATTTATTTATATAATTATAAAGCACTTAGAGGATTAAGAAAGTATTCTAAAGTGGCCTCTTAACTTCTTAAGAAGGTATATAATCAGTATTACTTTTGTAGTTTTTAAAGAACAAATTTGTGAAAGGGTTTTTAAACCTAAAGGATATAGTATCTAGAGATATTGATAATAATCTCTAGAGGTTCAATGTCCTTTTATGAATTTAAAGGAAACCAGTCTCAGGCATCTATATATAATATATAATATATCCAAAAGATACTTCTAAATAATCCAGAATATTCCTTAATAACTTATTTTCCATCCCAGCTACCCTGCTTGGCCCTGCTCGTTTGTGTGCGGGCAGCGGTGACAGGACCGGAGGCTAGGTCCTCCAGTACAAACCCCAAGGACCAGCAGCTGGCCACGGCCAGTGTGGGAGTCCTTGACTCTGTGCTAAGGGGAAAGAGCCGCCAGTCGCGGTGTGTAAGATGCTACGAAGATCGTGATAGGGATCGGTATTATGGAGGATATTCCAGTCGCACAGGCGATGATATGCGCAGCAGTGCCTGGTACTATTCGGGATATGATGATCGCAGCAGCAGCAGCCGAGGTGGCGACCGTGACTACGACCGGTACTACGATCGGTATCGTAATTACTACGACGATCTCTATTCACCGAGGACCTACGATCGGTATGAGGGACGAGGCTATGATGATTATAGGCGAGGATCCTACGGAGGAGCCGGATCATACGATCGTGATCGTGGTTATGGATACGACAACAGGGAGAGAGATAGATACTATGGTGATCGGTACAGCGAGGGCTCTTCTAGAGGTAATAGTAATTATGAAATATTATATATATATTATTATTTTTAAATTTTATATTTTATAGACCGCTACTATGATCGCTCGAGGAGCAACTATGATCGCTATGATCCCTACGATCGCTACTACTCCAGGTATGATTTTCGCAACTATCGCCCTTGGGATGAGACCTACAGGTATCGTCGCACATGCTTCTGTGTATATATGTTGTCAGCTGTCTATCTTTATCTCTGGCTTTCTATCTCTGAGTTGTTTCCCCTCTTTTTTACTTTCATACAACAACTCAACTCAACAACACCACAACTACAACTACAACTACACCAACATCATGAACAACAACATGAACATGAACAATACACCGCACAACAACAACAACAACAACTGTGGACACTGCGATCAATTTATGGCCGACAAACAAACCAAATTGCACCCGAAAAACAACTGCAACTGCACTCACTCACTTCCGCCAACCCGACATTCCGTATCCGTCCCGTTGACCCGCCGCTTCCGCTTCCGGTTTTGCCGCCAAAATCAGAGGCCAATCCGGCTTCGATAACTCCGGACGGGGCTATTACTTTGTCGGTGACGCCGAGGACGATAGCGATACTGGCCGGAATCGTGGCTATGGCGGTGGTTACTCCTATAACCGACCCTCGCCCGCGCTAAACTCGCCCTGCGGCAGCCGCCTCTTGGGCAGTAATTGTCCCTATTCAGGAGGCGGCTCCAAGGTCACATCCTCGGCCATTGGCAGCGATAGTTCTCGCGTGGGTGGCCACACCAGTGTCATGGGCTCGGATGGTGGTCCCGGCAGCTGGACATATTTGGGGGATCAGGATAAAAATGGCGGAGGAGGCAGCTCGAGCGGCAGCAGCAGCAGCGGCTCAAGCAGCGGCAGCAACGGGGGCTCTGGCAGCGGCGGCAGTCGGGAGCGGGAACGGGACAGGGAGCGGGATGCACAGAGGTAAGTTGCAGTGGGTGCTGCCCCTGCAACAGCAACAATGGTGTGATTTTTGGTAGAGTTTTCTTGGAGTTTTAGAAGGGCATTTGAAGGTGAACTATAACTTTTCTAACCGATTTTAAAATGCCATTCCAAATTCCAAGTTATATTTTACCCACTCTTAATAATCCCCCACGAAATCGCATCCGGAATCGGTCACGGCATTAAGATAGGCTTGCTCTCTTATCGCCCCTCATAGCTCTTCCTATGGTGGCCGACCACGTCCTCTAGGCGTTAGCTATCTGCTCGAACGGGACTCGGATGCCGCATCGGATGGTCCAGGAAACACGGCGAATCCAGCCGGCAATGGTGGTAGTGGTGGTGTTGGTGGTGCTGGTTCTGTTGGTCAGAGCATGCCGGTCCCAGCTGCACAGACAGCCGCCGAGGGAAGCACCGGAAAGGCGGCGGAGCAGTGATTCCAGGCACCGGAAAAGGAAATGGAACTCGAATCCAAGTCGGATACGGTTCCGGAACTGGAGCCCAAGGCGTTCCAGCGGCTGGGATAACTGCCGGACTGTGGGCGTGGCAGGGCTTAGTATAACCTACCTTCCGTATTTATGTGTAACTCGTAAGCTAAGTCTCCAAAGAAACTATTTATGTGTGGCGCAGCTTTGCTCAAATAAACAAAACTTCAAAGATCCTCAATTAATTGTTTTTTTTTGCTATTTGGTTAAAAAAATATGTAAATATAATATAAAACAAGCAAGAGTGTTCAGTTGGAAGTACAGTTTATTTTATTGTTCGTTTTTGTAGTGCTTAAATATGAGTTCATACATTTATAGTACTTAATTGGTTTTTATTAATAATAATAATAAACTTTCTTCTTGAGAAGACCCTGAGCATAAGTAAAAAACCAAAGAAAAATTAACTAATAAAGTAAAATTTAATGTGAAATAAATATAAAAAAACATAAAATAAATTGAAAAGAAATTAAATTTAGTAAGAAATGAAATTTTAAATAAAACGTATAAAATAAAACACTTAATTTATAACAAATAATTAAATTATAATAATACAAACAAACACAAAATAATATATAAAACAAGCCCAAAATAAAAAAAAATCCATTAAAATAAAACTAAAGAACATTAAACCAATTTCGCAAAATAATAAAATAAATAACGTTCATAGTGTTACAATATAAATAATAAATAAAAAAAATATGATAAATATAAGAATAAAATAAGGAAAATATAACAAATAATTAAATATAACTACTTACAACATTAGAATACATAGAATATAAAAAATATACAGAAAAATATATAAATAATTTGGATTCTCATCAAAAACACGGATAAGTACGTATAATTTAAATAAACTCTTAATAATTCGTCAAAACAATCATGAAAAACCAAAACTATTTAAAAGAAAAAATTTTTGAATAATAATTAAATTATTAAATAATAAAAAAAAGTGTAAAACATAAAAGTGTATAATTTGTTATAAATAACTCAGATTATGGAAAACCGTCAATAAAAAAATATAAAACAATAAATTAATAACTCAAAAATCAAAATAACAATACAAATCTTGATTAAACAAATAAAGATTATATATTTAAAAAAACCCCTAACCTTAAAAAACAATTTTAAATAAAAAACCATATTTAAATATAATGATAAATTGAACAAAATAACACCAAAGTATATAAAAATATGATAATTTCAAATAATAAAAACTTAAAAGATTTTTAAAAAATATATGAAGTAAAAAAATTGATAAAAAATTATTAAAATATACCAAAATATAAAATAAATTAAAAAATTTATTCATGACCAAACAAAACATAGTAAATTAAACATGAAAATAAATATTTTATATATAAAACAAATCAAATTCCATAAAAATAAAATTATAAGAGAAATAAGAGAATATATTTTAATAATAAATAAAAAAGTTTAATAAATTAACTTACCAAATCATAAATTATAAACCGAACGAATTCACAAAATAAGTTGGAAATCATAAAATCACAATTTGTTTAAAATAAACATATAAAGCATAAAAACATAACCAATGATAAACTGATATTGAATAAAACAACAAAAATGTATATGAAAACGGGAAAGAAATTTTAAAATGTTAAAATAAACAACAGTTTTGTAAACAAAAATGAAAAAGTTAATAAAAAAATCAAAGAAAATTAGAAGCTTTGAAAATGAAAACCTGAATAAAAATTAAGTAGAAAAAATAATTGCTCGAATGTAATCTTCTTTAAAACAATCATTTTGTAACAAAAACACGCCTTGCTATTGGCAATATACATTGAAAAAACTTTCCTGGTAGTTCTTCTTTTAAATTAGAAGTTATTGTTTGAAAACTTTTGTCAAGGATATTGTTAGACCAACAAATTTATAGCTTTTAAAAACGTTTTTTAACAAAAAACATCAACAGGATGAAAAAAAAAATAATAAAACTAAAAAAGGCACAAATAAATTGTAACTAAAATTGGATTGATTTCCATTTAAAAAACTTATTTAAAATTTGTCTGGAAGATTCATTCTTTTGTTGATTTGTAGATCGGTGCAACGTCGGTGGGCGGTGGTTTAATATAATTTAAAACTTTAAAATTTAAATGCTTTTCTTTTTAGCGGTGTGGTTATATTTTTAAGACTCTTGTGGGAGTATTTCTTGAAAACTTCAGTGTGCTAATTTATTTATGTTTACTGCTGTTTCTTCTTGTGTTTTTGATGCTTTTTAGAATTTTATAGTTAACTTCATTCTTAATTTTGTAGTTTTTCAGGTGCTTGCTTTCATATTTTTGAAGCTTTTTATTTATGATTTCATTGGAAATATTTAGGTTCTTAAGTTGCATCCTTGATTTTTTGGATCTCGGGTTGATATGGTTTATAAATGATTAATTAAACCTTTAGAATTCCATTTTTTTTTTGGGAAACATCAGAAAATTGTATTTATTGATTTCTTGAAGATTGTTTTGTATAATACAGGCTTCTGTCGATTATAATATTGGTTGATAAATATATTTATCATTTTAATTTGTTTTTCTTGTCAGGAAAATTGTATGTACTTGACTCCTTGAAGAATTTTCTTTTGTATTCTGAATTGATGTATATTTTTAATGATTTTTCGGTTATTTTAATAATTTCTTTAAGTAGTTTTCATAACTTGTTGAACCTTAGCTGGATCGAGTTTATATTTGTTTTATTTTCTCTATAGTAAATAGAGTTGAGCTTGTTTCTTTCTGGTTTTCTGTGAAAGGATAACCAGAATTCATTAGCTCTCAATACGTTTTCTTTTCACTATTTAATACTTACATATTTCCAATAAAAAATCCAAGTGTCTTGAAGGTTATCTCTCAAAATTAATTGTATTTAACAAACTTTAATTAACGGCTGAGGCCGCCGCACATATTGGCGGCGGCTTAGCGATTTTTGAGCTCGCTCTGTATCGTCGTCACTCGTTAAAACTCGAAAGTGAACTGTGCTGCTATGCCGATCGGATCCCTCTTTTATATGTGATCTAACCAGGGAAAATCATCCACCATCTCTGGCTGGAAATACTTTCGCATGACGCAGGCGTGCCTGGGTTCCAGAACCACCAAGAACCGGGTGCATGCCTTTGACCCATAACAATAATAATAAAACGAGGGTTCAGCTCAAGAAATGAATTGAATTGGAAATGTTTATTTCATTTTTATGCTGGTATGTATGTCCCCGAGATCGCTTTACTTCTTTGCTGGGACTCTAGTGGATTCCGGTGGAGGGTTCTGTCTGGGGTTAAGTCACCCCCGTTTAGAGCGATCTTGCCCTGTGGGAACCGAGCTGATAAAGGTGGCTATATCTACCAGTTGCTTGCATAGTAATTAGTCAAGATTTTTCCCGTTCGCTTTCTCACGCTCCTCGGGGGTTTCTATTCCTATAAGTTCTTTTGCGAAAATCTCCCCCGAAAGGTGTTTCTGTTTCTCAAAGAACTGACAACAATAGGGGCGGGGTGCTCACATTTTGGGGTGGCTTATAGCCAGCAGCTCCTGTGTCAGTTTGCCAGCTACTGGTAGCTGGATTTTTATGCTGGTGGCATTTAATTTCATTTAGGACTCTTGTGGGATCATCAATTGTACATAATTCGGCTACTGGCAGAATGCGGGCCAAGGATGAGCCAGGGGTGCAGCTGCAAGGAGCGTTGAATGAGAAGTTTTGAAGATTAAAAGTTGTGCAATAGCCTAAAAGTAAACCCAAAAGTTCTTACTTTCCCCTTATCTGCATGTTGGTATAAGTATTTAAAGTGTCTTGAAGACCCAACACCTTTGATAACCAATTTGTTGGTCAAATCAGCTTTCATTTAGTCTGCTTGACTTTAGCAATTTCCCTCAAATAAACACGTTGTTATCTGTATTATTTGTCTAAGAGAAAGATAAAGAATAGACAGCTCTTTATTTGTGTTAGTTTTTTGTTTCAAAAACTCTACAAAACCTCAGAGAGAGAGCTACCCAAAGTGCGTAACAATGGCTGCGATAACGCATCTTATCAATGAAACTAGTTGATAAGCAACCGCGTCCTCAATCAACAGGCAAGCGCAATGTACTCCAGTTTAGTTTTACTACGGCGGCAGTTCACCTCGTCGTGTCTAGTTCGGGGAAAATGCGTAGATTTTCCCACTGGCTACGGCCCAGGGTGACGCATGTGGCGTTCCTGATCCTCTTCGTCTACCTTTTCCTGCTCGTGGGCCACAGATTCCTTCAAGTGAGTGTGACAAATTGGCCTCGTTCTATTAGCAACAAATATGCTCTGTCAAGAAAACATCCGGACCTCTTTAAAGTATTTAATGGTTTGTATAATTAATATTTCGCTTTGAAAGGAATATCTAGACAAATTCGTTTGTTTTCAAAACAGAAAATGCTGTGAAGGCAATATATGGTGTACAGTGGTATGCATTTTTTTGTTATATATATTTCTGTATATTGTGGCATCGATTTGATGTTAGCTTATCCCTAGGGTTTCATTAGGGAAATGCATTGTAGCATGCAATTCGCTTTGCGTGTCATGGGATAATGCGAAATTTTAATTACAAAATTGGAGTGGCTGTTTAGAAAGTGTTAAAGAATGGAAGAATGAAGTTTAAAATTCAAGAAAAAATATTTTTATTCTATAAAAGTTCTTCCCAAATAAATTTTTGTTTAGTTTCTTGCTCAAATCTCAGCGCTTTTTATTTTCATTTGAATATTTTAATACTTTCTTATAAACGTCATAATGATTTAAGTCCCACTGTCCCCCATTTATTATTTGAACTCAAGCATCAAGTGGCCATTGCCTTCGGCCACTTTCGATTGCCCGGCCAAAAAGACCAAAGACAAATGTATTAAATGCGGCAATTATACATAAACATGTGTCTGAATAAAAGAAATGACCGGCTGGCTGTGTGCGTGCTGCTCTATGTATAATTGATATATTTTCATTTTCAATAATAAAAGTGGAGGAGGATGTTGGCCGTATTTACTTAAAAATAGCTGCCAAAGGCGACGACGCTGAGTCACGCCGAGCGGTGAAGGCGGCGACAGACTTGGACATGGACACTCCAATCGAGAGACAAGCGTACAATTTATTAAGTTACCTCCCCCACTGGAGCACCCACTGACAATCCACCCACTCGGTGGGGGGACATGGAGTTGGCTCGCTTACAAGGCCCCTCCATGACTCGCTGCTGCTGCTGCTGCGCTGCCGCGGCGCCGTTACTGCGCTGCCCCGGACTGCCGCCATTTGATGACAGCGTCCGTGGACAGAGGCGCCAGTTTGATGCGAGGCGTGCGTTGATTAACTTGTTGCATACGCGTCCTGGATAAGGCAGGAGAGTGGAGCGGGAAAGCGCCGGGTCTCTAGTCACTTCTCCCCTTGCTGTACACTTGAAAAAAAGAAAACGTTAAGAATTGTAGGGTTTTCTAAAGAAAATAAGAGTATTTTTTGATAAAGTGTCTAGAAATTTAAGACCGAAAAATATGAATTTTAAAATTTTATGTAGGTTTTAAAAGAAATTAAGAGTTTCTGTGATAAAGTTATTTTGTATCTAGGACTAGAACTTGATTTTGAAATAAATCTAAAAATTTAACTGAAATGATCTAGGTTTAAATAACTTTAAACAAAGATATAAATGATCACATATATTTCTATAATTTATAGACTATAAAATCTCCTCTTATTTTTCTCGTGAAACCAACATCTCTTTAATTTGTTTACATTATCCAGTGAGAGGGTGAGAGTGCCATATATGATTTTTTTTCCCACCCATCGAACGACGTGTGTGTATGTGAGACCATAATTATTTGCGTTTTGTGGGGGCGCCAAGCGAACTTGCGGCTAGGTCGGTGTGACCCAAGAATGTGGAGGACGGAGGGCTTGGTGATGATGACACTGGGAAAGGAAAAGCAGAGCCACCAAAAGCAACAACCACAAGAGCGTTATCGCTAATCGATGGCTGGCCATCAAGAACGCTAAGCAAATAAGCAACAGGAGCTCTACGAGCTGGAGAGCTCGACGGCCAAGACCCGAGTCCGAGACCCAAGACATTGTCGTAGCCATCGTCGCAGTCCAGTTGCCGTTGCCGTTGGCGTCGCCGTCGACGCCCACACACACACACACAACGCGCAGCGAAAGCGATAACCGCTAGGAAATAAATAAACAGTTTTAGTTGCTGTCGGCGATTCCTGAGGAGCGGAGCCCACTCGAAATGCTGGCGGCTCAGGAGAATCGCTTCCAGTATGTGTACTTTGCGCTGTCCGCCGTGGTGGCCAGCGCTATGCTCGTCCTGGTCTACATCTCCATGCGTTCGAGCCTAGTGAGTTTGGGAGAGAGACTTCTTGTATTTGTTGCCTGATCCTGTGACTCATCCTTGGGGTTACTCTATTTGCAGAATGAACGGTTGCGCGAGGACCTGGCCAAGACGCAGCACCAGATGATCTTCGAGAAGCCGAATCCACACTGGGACTATAGCAATAGCTGGCGGAAGATCGGAAATGCTTCGCTCAGGCATGAGATATACTCGGCCTACTTTGATGTGAGAACGGAGATTATAGGTGAGCTGAAGGATAATTAAATGTATCCTGTAATCCTATATCATTTCATATTTATATTCCAGGCAGTGTCCGCCTGGATGAGGAGCAGATGACCATTGGTTCCCTGCGTCTGTTTGCCATTCTGCCCGAGCGCCTGCGCGACTCTCGGGTGAGCTGCATCGTTCGCTTTGCGGACTTTACCAGCCAGGAAATAGTGGCCGAGGAGGCGGGGGCCATGCATGATGTACACAACAATACCTTTGCTGCCTGGAGCATCATGTGTCCATTGCATGCCTCACGCCGCAGTCCCATGCGACTGCCCCAGGCGGTGGCCCTTACCTATGCCTCCAACAGACTGAGTCACCTGAGTCCCACCTTTATTCAGATCAGGTGGGTTTATACCTTATTCTTCTCCAAGATTTATAAACTAATACTTTGATTTTTCTTTCCTGTTCCCCTTAGCTACCCCCGCAACATGACCAACCTTTTTGGACGTTCGCGTCCCACGATCTCCGTGTGCGTGGGTCCGCTGCAGGAAAACTACTCAAATGTCTTGCGCCTCGTGGAGTTTGTGGAAATGTACCGCCTGCAGGGCGCCAGCCACTTTTATTTCTACTACGTGGAGGCCACCGAGGATGTGCGTCGCGTTCTGGAGCACTATCAGCGCATCGGACTGGCCGATGTCTTTGAGTGGAATGTCCACTCTCACCTGCAGGACCTCCACTATGCCGGGATTGTGGCGCAGTTCAATGACTGCGTCTACCGGGCCAATGTCGTGGATAACTTCAGGTATGCCGCAGTGGTGGACCTGGATGAGGTGGTAATGCCGCTGAAGCACAACTCCTTGGCGGATTACCTGCGTCAGTGCGATGAGGGCCGAACCGCGGGCTTCGTCTTCCGCAATGTCTTCTTCCATCGAAGGGATAGTAATGACACCTTCAATGCACCCGCCCACGTTCTCAACCGACTGCTCTACACTCAGTCGAAGGTGAAGCGGACCCTGGAGGTCCTGCCCGCCCACGTGCGAAGCAAGGTGGTGGTCAATGCCCGGGGAATTGTAGAGATGGGCAACCATCAGGTGTATCGCTCGGCGCCGGGCTACACCGACCACATAGTGCATCCGACGGTGGGCCTGCTGTTCCATTACCGCGACAAGTGCATCAACTGCAAGATGGTGCTCATCGTGGACTACACCGCGCGGAGATTCGGGTCGCTGCTCTTCGACCGCGTGGACACCACGTGCCTGGAGGTCTTCATGGACCGGCGGGGCATCTGTGAGTTGGCGTAGCCCATATCAGCGAACCGATCTCCGACAGACGCCCCCTAAAAACTACAAAGACCAGAGATCTCGCGGCTCAGTTCTGAGCGTGGCCTCCGCCCGTCGACATGCTGAAGTTCTGCTCGCTGCGCAAGGGCAGGGAGTCCGCGATTCCCAATGTTACGACTCCGGCTTCGGCTCCGGCTCCCAGAGTGGCCAAGAGTGTACGACAAATTAGCCTAAGTCCCCAAGCTGTTCTCTCTAAGTGTTATGCCGTAATAAATCGTGCTTTAAGTGATTTGTGATGTAACCCAAAGTGTTTTTATTTGGTCTCGTCTCGTATTCTGCCCCCCCTTAGTCCTCGCTGCGCCTGAAGGATGTCCCGCTGACCGATGCCCAGCTGCTTCAAGTGCTCCAGGCACAGCGTGAACAAGGTCCTTTGATTTTGGCCCTGAGCAGGTGAGCAAAAGTCCTAAGGGTTTACGATTTCCCAAGGTGTGAACCCGCCCCCTTTTTCACTTTCAGTGCGGCGGCGGGGGAGACCTGCCGGAAATGTGGAACACCTTATGAAACCCGTCAGGTGCTCGAAAACGGAACAACAGGTGAGCTTTGTGGGAAGCAGGACCTTTGTCAAACAGAAGGTGTATTTTTAACCGCATGCTGTTTTATTTAACTAACAAATTTAAGTGGTTAATCAAATAAAAGTCAAAAGTGGGTTAACTGATAGTGCGGCACTTCCTCCCCTGATTTTACAAATAACAAAAATAAATTCAAGCTTATGAAGTCACTTAAATTCAAATCAAAAAACCCTTAGAGATTATATTTTATTTTTGGAAATGAACCTTGAAATATTATTCAACTTCGAAGAATGAATTTATCAGGCAAAGAGGTTTATAATTTATTTTAATTCTCTGGAGATATTAACCCTATTCCGAACTGAGCTTTAAAATAATTCGTTTATGTCATAAAATCCTGAGAAATCATTTACTTACTGGGATTTTTGAGGATTCCCCAGCTAATTTTACTTTTTATACACAAAAATTAAAGGCTTAATTAGACCCTAGTTGCTTAGGGCTTTCCTTCAAGTGCTTAGGTCCTTTTCATAAAAACGCCTTCTCTGGGGACTAAGCATTACTTTAATTCATGAATTCATTATTTTTATTGGTTTCAAGTGTTTGTTTACAATTAATTTACATTTTTTAAACTCTTCCTGTGTCATCTCATTAAGAAAAGTCAATAAAAACAGGGACAACAAACCACTACTGTTTACCAATGCTTCTCTTGGTCATGGAATGCACTCCCCTCACTAATTACATTACTCAAAGTGAAAAGCCGCAATCAACTCGACGTTGTTTGTGATTCATGCCTCGGCATAAACGACTGAAAAAAACCATAAACTGTTTATTGGAAGAAGGACTGAGCCGGCTCACTCCCTCGCCAATAGTATTGGAAATATAATAACCAACAGTGCACGCTGAACCATTTCAAAACGAACCCCTTTCCGGAGGCCCCTCAATGTCTCCTCCTCAATTTTACAAGCCCCCCTCCGTGACAACGCCTCTGTCTGGACTGTTAGAGCTTGACGCTGCGCCGATGACAATGACGCTGCTAGCTGGCATTATACTAGAATGTTTACGAGGGAGTGTGACAGTCGGTGTGAGGAGTGGGGAAGTGGGATTTTGGGGAGCTGGAGGGAGGCAGTACTCTGGCTTAACGGGAGGGTGTGAGGGTGCGCAACGAGTGGTCACCGCCTAAGCCGGCAAACAAACACAAAAAACAATAAAGGAAATCACCATAAAAGCGAGTTTCGCTTCAGGAGTTGTTAATTAGCGTAGGATAATTAAATAATCATTAAAATATTATATAAAAAATATTTTAGAAAATATTGGAATTAATTTACATTCCTAATTACAATAAAGTTATTGCATACTTTTGGGCATATTTTCAATTGATTTTAAAAGGTCAAACTATTTTGATTTCCTTAAGAAGGTGTAAAAAACTATTCCAAGAAATATAATGTTGCAAAAAGAAAGAAACTTAGACTGCATTTTGAGTCTCAAAAACTTTATAGCACGCTTATTTTATAATAAATTTTAAAGCCATCATATTTGACATATTTCTAGCAATGATATGATCATAACTTATCTTCAAGATTGACGTATGATTTATTCAATTAAAGACTAAATAACCTGCAGTTATATAGATATATATCATTTATATAGATAACCCCCCTTGGATATAACCAATTTAAATTGCCCCAATTAGTCTTAATAATTCCCTGCTGTTGCAAACTACTCGATCGCCCCCTGGCCATGTGCACTGTGCCACCCGCAATGTCGTCATCGTCATTCATCGACTGTCTCCACTCCAGACATATGTCTGTCCATGTCGACTCACTCGTCACCCGTATCCCTCCCGCTCCAGCTTCTAAGTGTGCGAGTATATGTGTCCCATTGAAGTCCCAGTTTCGATTCCAGCTGCAGCTCCGGATCCAGCTTCTGCCCTAAACCAGATGCGCACATGCTGCGGCACAATGCACTGACAATGATTGGATTCTTTTGTTCTGTTTGCTGGCCAAGCCTCTCGCCTTCGCCCCCTTTTCCTGCACAGCCCCTACCCATTTAGCCAGAACACCCCCACCTCTCTCTCTCTCCACACTCGCACAACACAACACACACTGACCCCCGCCGACCCTCGCTGTGCATTTGTGTGTGAATTTATGCATACAAATTTGAAAAATATCGGATCTGTGGTTCGTGCTCGCCGAACGCAGAACGCAAATAGGGAGAAAAGCAAGCGACAAGTACGAAGGGTAGGAAGTGTAGGAACTGGGCTTGTACCCTGTAATTGGTATAATATAATAGTTATTTATTATATAAAATTTTGATTAAACGTAATAATTGTTATTAATCAAGGTAAAATTACTGATGAAGCTACAAAAAATATAAATTATGTTCATTATTTTTATCTAATGCAATATATTTTACATTAAAAAGGATTTAGGTAGAGAATTGGCATAAAGATTAAGCTCAAAGAAATATTATCTAAAGCTCGTAGATTATTTTCTGCAATATTTTTTATACAGAATACAGACGTTAACTAAACCTATATCTATATTATCATTACATATTGTTTCACCCTCTCTTCTACACTTCCTTTAGCATTTTATGAATGAATTTCTTTGTTTTTGCTTCTCTCCTGTATTGCTTTACTCTCTTGTGACTGAGCATACCCCAAGACCTCCCTCGATTGCAGGGTATTGCAATGGCAAAACATCAACAAGTCACGGCTCTAAGCCGGCTACAACTACAATGAACGACGGAGAGCCCCGTCCTCAGTCCGCAGTCCTCACCCACCACTCGACGCTGAAGTCGACGCCGAAGCAGACGCAGGCAGAGCGTAAAGCAGCGCTGCTAACAGAGGCAGCAACAAGTCACTAATCAACAGGCGAAGGCGACTCTTGCTCTCTGCTCTTCTTCTGCTGCTGCTGCTCTGCTGCTGCTCTGCTGCTGCTGCTGCTGCTGGCGTGCTTTTGCTTTTGCTTTCGGTTTTTTTAGTGGCTTTTGTTGTTGCTTTTGGCTTTGGCATTCGTGGGTTTGTTTGTGTTATACGATACCGTCCACCGTCCGTATTCCCCGAGCGATTTAGTTACTATAGAAGTTTTGCCAAGTCAAGTTGTCGCGAGCGAAAATCTATCTATATATGTGCGAAAGATAGTTCTGCGCGAGTTTTTCGAGTATTATTCGCGGGCGATTGCTCAAGTTCAGTGGCTAAAAGATAAACCGTGAAATGTTTTAGCAGCAACTATAATAATAATAATAATAAAAAATCGCAATTTGGCTAGCAAAGTGAGTTACCTGAAAAGTTACTACCTTACCTTAGCTTAACTTACCCCCCTTTTATTCGACTTGTTCAGAGGTTGAGTTTGGCGCCCTTTTTATGTGTCAGTGGGTTAAGCGGGTGTCGGCCCAGAATTTCAACTTCCACAAATAATGCCCAGACAGTGACTGGCCTCATGGCTTCATTACGTATTTAAATCAAACGTTTTTGGCCTTTGATTATCGGTTTCCAAATTGAAATTCAGCTGATAGGCAAATGCAGACCGAATTTGGATTGATAATAATACTATATAACCGAATATATAGCTAACTATAGACATATAGATCTCCCCCATATGTGATTTTAATTCGTTTTAAATTATACAGTGCAACCCTTTTTCCTCTGTTGGTCATAGTTCAATTAAGTCGCTAATGACCGGATGTTAATGTTATATATGTTATATAGAAGCTTACTTGTGTGTGTGTGTGTTGTGTGTGCATGCAAATGAAGCCGGAATATGTCCCGGAATTTCAGTTTGATTTAATTGTGGCATTATATTTTATAGAAATTAATTTCAACCCAGTGGGTCGTCGGGTTGAATTCATAATTCAATTGGCCACCGGCACTCCTAGCTCCCCAGCTCCGTTCATGATTAATTATAATTTTTTATTTTTATATATTCGGCATTCTTCTATCGCTGAAAAGAAAGAAAGCTTTGGCAAATAGCGTACCCTCTCTATGTACTATTATTTATTCTGCTTTTGTTTACCGTTCCACACACACAATTTTTTTTTTTTGATAAGCCTCAGCTGGGCGAAAACTCAAAAGTTTTTGTTTTTATTTTTTATAGGTTTTTTTGCGAGCGTATTTGTGCGAGTTTTGTGTTTTTTTGGCTGGCAAACAGGGTTATTGTCAATTGCTAAAAGCGAAAAAAAATAAAGACACTAAAAGAGGGAGAGGGCCTGAGTCTGATTGCTACGCTCGGGAAATACTAAAATTAATCAAAATAACATAAAGACAGGCTGCGAATGCTCTTACATGTCTGTGAGATCATTAAATTAAAATTCATTGCCAAGAACAATTATTACTTGGTCATATCAGTGAAATTTCAAAGCTTTAATGTCTGAAATTCCTGGAAATTCTGGTTGATTATTGCCAAAAATATTATTTTAATTACATTTAAATCTTTAAAATATTTAAAAAGTTTACCAAATAGACACTAAAAGAGGGAGAGGGTTTGATTCTAATTACGACGCTGGGGAAATACTAAAATTATTCAAATAAATAATTCAATATAAAGGCATTCATTTAAATAACTTGACAAAAAATATTATTACTTGGTCATATCAGCGAATTTACAGCCTTTTTACCCGAAATTCCCGGAAATTCTGGTCTTGATTATTGCTAAAAATATTATTTTAATTACATAAAATGCTGAGATCATTGGGTTTAAATTCATTATAACAATTATTACTTGGT